CCCCCAAATGAAATGTCTTTAAAAAGTGGGTAAAGAGTTCGGTCAAGATGACAGCATAGGCAGGCTCTGAACTCACTTCCTCCCATGGACACAACAAATTTACAACTACTCTTGGAACAATTACCCCTGAGAGAGAACTGAAAACTGGATAAAAAGAAGCCCTGCAACAAGAGACAGTCCTGACTGAAATAGAAGAGGCAGAAATTCCTTTCTGGAGAGAATAAAAAGCCACCTCCTAGCCATGGTGCTTCCTGGCCAGTCAGGAGCAATCCTAAAGTGGGCAGCATTCCCTGGAGGAGTGGGGGACCTGAGCCAGGGAGCAGTACCACAATAAGCAGCCTTTGGATTCAGCACAACAGAGATGGGTGTCATAATATCTGGCTTGGCTGGCTATTAACTACAATGGGGAATACACCCAGAAAAGCTATCAGACATAAGGGGAAAAAAGCTGGCTCTTAAAGGGCCCATGCACAAATTCACCGATTTCAGAAAGCAACCTAAAATCACCAGAAAGAAAGGTACAAAGTCCTTTGGTGAAAAGAGTCTCACCTGATAGGCTCTGGGTGCATCCTGATGAGAGGTGAGACCTCTCCAGGGACTAAGACATTGGCAGCAGCCATTACTGTGACCTAGTACGGGCATGCTGACACAGATGCTGGAGGATGCCATTGGAGTTCTTTCCCTGGCCTGTTAGCCCAGGGATCTGCCACACCCACTAGAGCACTGATTTAATCCAGCTCAGCCAGGGCAGGCAGCCCACCCCAGGGACTTGCCCCACCCAGCAGCAAGCCCTCAGGCAACTTGTGGGCCTGCATACGCAGGGTGCCTGCAACCTCTGCAGGTGGGCAAGTGGGTCAACCTCTGTGGGACAGGGAATGCACAAGGAGCAGATGGAGTGTTGGGGGTGGGGGGGGCCTCTGCAGTGTAGGAAAAAACCTACAGCCAAGAATACTCTACCGTTCAAGGCTATCATTCAGAATGGAAGAAGAGAGAAAGAGTTCCCCAGACAAGCAAAAACTAAAGGGGTTTATCACCAAGAAAACAACCCTATGAGAAATGCTAAAGGTACTCATTTAAGTGGGAAAGAGAAGACCACAAATAGGAATAAGAAAATTATCAAAAAAAAAAAAGCAATAAAATCACTGGTAAAGGCAAAGGCAAATATACAGTAAAGGTAACAGATCAACCACCTATGAAGATAATACGAAGGTCAAAAAAAAAGTACTAAAATTATCTATTTCCAGGATAAGAGGGTAACGGATACACACACACACACAAACAAAGAGGTTAGATATGACATCAAAAACATAAAACATGGGAGGAGGGGAGTAGAAGAATAGAGCTTTTAGCAAGAGGTCAAACTAAAAAGGCCATCAACTTCATATAGATTGCCATATATGTAGGTTATAATATATGAACCTCATGGTAATCACAAACCAGAAACCTATAATAAATACACAAAAAATTAAGAGAAGGGAACCCAAACATAATACTAAAGAAAGCCACGAAACCGCAAGGGAAGAGAGCAAGAGGAGAAGAACAGAGAACTACTACAAAAACAGAATGGCAATAAGTACATACTTATCAACAGCTACTTTAAACGTCAATGGACTAACTGCTCCAATCAAAAGGCATAGGGTGGCCGACTGGATGAAAAAACAAGACCTATATTTATGCTGCATACAATGGACACACTTCAGACGTAAAGACATTCATAAACTGCAACCTAGGTGTCCATCAAGGGACGAATATCAAGGGATAAAGAAGATGTGGTTTATATACACGATGGAATACCACTCAGCCATAAGAAAGGATGAAATCCGGCCACTTGTGACAACATGGATGGACCTTGAGGGTATTATGCTAAGTGAAATAAGTCAAAGGGAGAAAGTCAAATACCATATGATCTCATCCATAAACAGAAAGTAAAAACAACAACAACCAACCACAGAGAGACAGATTGGATCAGTGGTTACCAGAAGGCAAGGGGGAGGGAGGAGGATGAAAGAGGTGATCAGGCACATGTGTGTGGTGATGGATTGTAATTAGTCTTTGGGTGGTGAACATGATGTAATCTACACAGAAATCAAAATACAATGATGTATACCTGAAATTTATATAATGTTATAAACCAATGTTACCACAACAAAAAAAATTTAGCAGGCAAGTAATAAATTCTCAAAGCCATTTCTATGAACAATATTAAAAAAAAAGAAAGAAAGAAAGTAGGTAAAGAAAACAGGGGGTTTAGGCTGCCAGTGACCAGTTAGGTCAATAAAAATCTCTGGACTCAGTTTCTCAGGATTAAGAAGGATTTACACCATATACAGAGTCAGTCAACATTTCCTCTCCACTTTATTGTCCCAGGCACTGTGCTAAGCTCTTTCATGTGTCACCTCATTTTAACCAAGGCCATAATTCTCTTGGTGTGGTCACTCCCATTTTACAGATAAGGAAACTGAGGCCAGCAGTTATGTGGCTTGCCACAGATCTCACAGCCATAAAGGTCTCTCTCTGTGTTTCAAGTCCAGGTCTATTTGCTCAGAGGCCAGTGTCCCCTCGACCGTTCCTGCAGCTCAAGATTTCTGTGACTGTTTACGCTGGGGTTGGCATGAATGCAAACATTTAGGAAATGCAATTCTTCCTCCAGAGATTGCCCCTGATTCAGCACCTCCACCAACACCCAGGATACAGTGAGAACCTTCAGGCAGCATGAAACTGGCTCTCCCGGGGCGGCTGGTGCCCTTGCAGGATGATTCTTCCTGCCCCTGTCATTCTCAGGAAGCAGCCAGCGGACAAAGAACAACAGGAGCAGGGAGCTCTGGGGAAGTGGACGCAAGCTCTGCCTTAGCCCATTCCAGGGACACGTGAGCCTCCGCTCCGCGAGGGGCGAGGCAGCAGTTTCTGGGGGATTCTTCTTGCTGTGGGGTGAAGCCTGTTAGGTGTGTCCTGTTTGCTGGTGTGTTGCCTCTTCACTGACCCAGCAAGACCCACTCTCCCTGCAGCCCCTAGTCCTGATGCCCAGAGCAGCCTTCCGCCCACCGGGCTAGGAGCTCGGGGGCGGGGGGGGGGGCAACTCAGCAGGCGACTGACAGCAGCCCCAGTGCCAGCCCCCAGGAAGGTGGGAGCGCAGGTCAACGGGCAGAGCTGCAAGGTGCTCAGAGGGCACCTGACCTGCCCTCTTGCAGGCACGTCTGCCTTCACCCGCAGCCCCGACAGGCCTCAATTCTGAACAATCAATCTATCTCATTGGACAAGAAGCATTTTCTCCCAGTGGAAGAAGACAGACTGAGAGCAGGGTCTGGAACAAGGGGAGCCACACACACACAGAGATCCAGAAATAAAACAAGCAACAGATGGAGAGAACATGAAGGGGGAAGGGGTGTTAACAGAGATAGAAAGGGAGGGAGCACGGGAGGGGAAGAAGAAGGAAAGAAAAAAGCCAACCACCACAAACAACAGAAGATGGCAGCCCTCCCGTCTCCAAACACAGGCTCTGCAGGACACCTCCCTCAGCTCAGGGTGACTCCAGCCTCTCAGGATTCTGGCAGAGCTGAACATTATACCCAGATTTGCTTTTCTGCACCTGCGACCCAGGCCTGACCCATAGGCTTCCTCTCGGGCCACAGTGATTGGCTCACGCCTGGGGGCGTGACCCCAAGGCTGTCCAGTGAGAGCCCATCCCAGGACCCTTCTTGGAACCATTATGAAAAGGAAGCTGTTTCCCACTGGGACTTTGGGGAAAAGGATAACGAAACCCTGGAACTGCCAGGGCCCACCACACAGGGAGAGCCTACTTGACAAGGAAGCCAGCCCAGAGGGAAGCAGAACAGGAAGATGCAGACAAACGCCTGACAAAATCAACGGCTCCTGGATCCAGCTCCTGGTCTGATTCCCCTTGACGCTTAAGTCAGTTCGAGCTGGGGGTTCTGTCATTAGCAACTGAAACAGGCCTCCTAGAATGTGAAAACCCACCAGTCTGTCTTGCCTCTTTCACCAGCTCCCAGAAATACATACCCAGACGGGGCCTGGGACTTTCCACAAAGAAACACAAAGGCCGGCAGAACTGCTAAATACTGATTTTGAGACAGTAAAACTATGACAGGGAGAATGGAGGGCTTTGCTCGATCTACACAGGGCTGCACAGGACTTTCACAGGCCCTGGGCACTTTTGCTTGCATGGGTCTCTTCCTCTATTTTTTAAAAAAAGTTAAAAGTTAGATTTTACAACTGCATTGGTATAAAGATGAGTATAATCCAGGCTCGATCATATTCATTTTTTTCTTCTTATTTTAAAAGAAATTAAAACATTTTCATGGGCACTAAAAGCATCGTGGGCCCTGGGCAGTGTGCCTACTCTGCCTAATGGGCACTCTGGCCTCAGGCCCACATCATCCAGACTGCTTGTCCACACAGTCCGGGCTCCCCAGAGACCAGCCTGATTCTCTTCTCCTTGTCTAGAAGCGGGGGAAGGCCCGGTGAGTTCCTCAGAGCCCAGGCTGGCCTGCCTCTGCATCCCTCTATCTCCACACACTTCCCTGGGTCATCACTGTTTGGCTTTAGCTTCAGGGCGCCCACTGCATGGGGACACACCTGTAATCCGGCATTATGACTCTGCATCATGGGGAGCTGCTCCCAATGTGACGGGGACGAGGCTGGGAGCTTGTCGATGACCCATGTCTCGTCCATCGACGGGGTCCAAGTCCCAGCACAGGGTGGGCACAGAACAGACCCCCTGCGGGGCAAAGCATGCTTCCTACCCAGGAAAGTCTCTTAAGACTTAAGACTCGCACTCGGGCCAGGCAGGACACAGAAAGGGATGAGGCAGGCCGAGCAGGAACGTGGTGAACTGGAGGGCACCTGCCCCTGAGGTCTTCCTGGGTCTCCATCTATTCTGGAGGACGATGCTGACTTGCAAAGCTGGAGGGGTTGGGCAGGCCTGAGTCAGCATGAGAGGCCCCCGGGGGGAGTGCCCTGGGCCCGGACTGCCCCTCACTCACCTTCATCACTGGTGTGAGGCTCGGTGCCATTGTCGTGGTCAACTTCATCGATGGTCCCTGGCTCGCTGTGTGGGCTGTCACTGCAAGGAAACACGGGAAGGGGACTCGCTGGCGGGCTTTGTACCCTCACGCTGTCCTCAGCCTCCACAGGTGCCAGCCCAGCCTGCCTCTGGGCCTTGACCCAAATCAGACACAGGCCCCCTTCATCCCGTCTTTTCCATCTGACCACCCACGAACCTTGCTAATAGAAAACCACTCCCAGCCTCCTTTTCTGGAAGCTTCCCTGAATAACCTCCCCCACCTGCCGCCAGCCTTGGAAGTTGCTGAGCTCTCTTCTTGGTAAAGGTTGTTGATGCCTTGGTGTTGTGTAAGATCCAGAGGGCAGTGTCAAACCCTGGCATTTATCCTCGGAAGGACCACAAGCCAGAAGAGAAAGGAATTGTGGAAGTACCGTGAGTCATCCAGCTAGCCTGGCTCCGCGTCTCACAGCGGAGACAACACGCCAGCGCGGTGGCATGAAGCTCACAAGCAGCAGGGTCCCTCAGGGCTGTCCCATGATGCTGCATGCAAAGCCCAGATCGGTCCAGGCGCTGCGAGCAGGCCGGCAACCAGGATGGGCAGGGCGGTAGACTGCATCCAGGCCCGTCAAATTTAGGCATTAGTGCCCTGGGAGAATTTCACCAGCTGCTACCGCCTCACTAGATTCTAAGCTTCCTGAGGCCGGGAGTCATCCACACAGTCAGTCAGCTTTTTTACTGAGCCATTGATTGAGTCCTAATACACGCCAGGCACTGTGCTAGGTAGGAGGGACGCACAGATGGGTAAGGTGGACCCGGGCCCTGCCTTCATGGGCCAGGAAATAAAACTGGTGCCAGCTGAAACGTGTTATGTAGGAACAAATGAGCAGAGGGGACCTGCAGAGGTGGTCAGGATGGCTTCTGGGAGGAGGTCACATTTACATTGCCATTTAAAGGAATAGGGACTTTATCACGACAAATTCTCCGTTGCCTCCTGGATAAGGTCCAGACTGTGCATGATCGGTTGTTTAAGACCTTTCATAACCTGCCTCCTGCTGGCCTGTGGAGGCTCCTCCCTTACCATTCCCTTGTCACTGTGGCCACATGGAATCACTTTTCATTCTATTTCATGCTCCAGGTCTAGAACATTCTTTTGCCCACTCCTCACCCAGCAGACTCCAGTTCACCCTGCAGGTCTCAGCTAAGTCTTTACTTACTCCGGGAAGCCTTTTCTGACTTCCCACCAGTGGCTCAGGGGGCCCCACTTCTGGAACTGTTTCCTCTTCCACCAGAGCCCCCTGCCGCGGGGGTTAATCCTGCTTGGGTTACGGCCCTGCCCCCTGGCCCTGGGCCTGGCCCAGGACAGATGCTCAGTAACCATTTGCTGAACGAATGAAAGTTGTCCACTGTGATGAGACCCTCAGCCAAATCCCCCTTTTTGGCTTTGAAAATGCCTCCCAAATCACCACGTAATTAATAATTTTCCTTTCTCATGGGACACAAATGGGATTAAGAAAAGTGTGGTTATTGTATACTGTTCTTTGAGAAGTACTCTAAGATCTGCACGTCCCTTCCCAGAACGCTAATTATACACCTATACCGCAGCAAGAAAGAAAACCAGTAATGTTGCAAAAACTGTGGGAAAAGCTTCTCTTTGTCCAGAAAGCGTGCTTGCTGGCTGTTTGATGTTTCTGTTACAGAACAGAGACAGACCCGCTCCCAGTGCCTCAAATGAGGTTAGAGAGCTGTGATGAGCCGTCCAGTGAAGAGCTGCAGGGAAACAAAGGCGCTGGAACGTCCCCCTTCTTTGAAGCAGCTGCCCAAATATGTCCAAGAATGAAAGTGATTCAAGAACCCAGGAACGCTGGGATAATCAAAAGACCAACTCCCGGCGGGCGCCAGGCTGAAAGCACACAGGTGATACCTAAATATAGAGCTGCGTGCTGTCCTGGACTGGGAATAAAGACAGACTGGGGACCTGTGACGGGTCTGTCAGTTGGCGTTCTGAATTTTCTGTCTTCACCACTTTTTTTAAAATATGTCCTATCTTCACTACATTTGATGGTCTTCGCCTGGGGAAGGGTGCCAGCCCTGATCTTCTTAAGGTCCTAAAATATTTCTCCCAAGACTCAGTGTAGCACCAGGTATGCAGAGGTGCCCAACCAGCAACTGGTGTCCTGGTGTGGAGCTCTCAAGGAAAGTGAACTCACTTTGTCTGGAAAAGACAACTCCTAGGTGGGAGGGGACAATGGTGACAAGTGTCACTCTCAGTTCATGAGGTTAAGGTGGGGATTATTCACTCCCCTGCTGCCTGCGATGAGCTTGCGACTCACCTGGCCAATGATGGCATTACATCTCCTAACCAGGGTGATTAGTTCACCAGACCCAAGCCTCAGCAAGGAGACAATTTTGGAGCTTGTGTTGAAACATTGGAGGAGAAGCTCTTTTTCCCCTGGGGATGCTGAGAGAATGGGCTGTAAATCTAGAGTTGCTGGATGCCTTCTTGAAACCACCAAGGGAGAGGCTGCCTGAGAATGAAGCCAATGCAGAAGAAAGTAGAGCTGAGGATTGCAGGACCATGTCCTAATGATAATAGCTGAATTCCTGGATCCAGCAATACCTGAAGGTATGCGCCCAGACTTTTTATTTAAGTAAACCAGTAAATTCCTCCTTGGTTTAAGCATTTTGAGTTCGATTTCTTTCTCTTTCAAGCCAAGAGAGCCTTGAATGATGCACCTATCTTTCATATCAGGCTGCTGCAAAGCTCAAATGAGAAAATGTGCATGAGAGTACAGACTATAAAGCAGAAAGAAAATCAACAGATTTCTAACTGTTCCTGTTCAACAGCAGCAGCAACAACAATGATGACAATAATCATAATATTAAGAGGAGCGGAATCTTACCAATATTCTTCCCCTCCTGCCATGCATTTTTCATACACGGGTCCCTCTAGCTCCCGAGGGCTGGGGAAGATGGCTTCATGATGGATGATGATGGTTTTGATGACTTCGTTGACGTGTGCCTGGCAGGACACAGGGTCTTGCCCATCAGGGATGTGCATGAGGGTGGGCCCGAAGCAGATGGCCAGGTTGTAGGGGTCCATCATGTTTTCGTCACTATACTGCGAGAGGCTACAAGAGAGCAGGGACGCACAAGTCACCTGGAAAGGCAAATCCTCCCCCTGGGGTTTCTTTCTTCTGGGGGCTCCACTCAGATCTCAGCGGTTTCCATGTTCTGTTTTGAGAACAGCTGCACCTAGAAACGCCCCAGGACACACCCTCCCAAAGGAGGCCGGGGCCGAGGCAAAGAGGGGCCCCCCTGGCCAGGCAACTCACTGGTTGAGGAAAGCGAAGAGGTATCTCATGACCACAATGACCACGCGGGGAAGGGTGACGAGGATTTGCTGGATCTGGTGCACCCTCTCAGCTGGGTTCTCCAGTTCTGTAACAGAAAGGGGCATCTTTCATCCTCAGAGAGCCAAGGAGCCGCCATTTGCTGGTCCCACCTCCTAGGTCAGCCCATGTGGTCCAGGGCAGCCAGTTCTACTCTCATTTCTGGGGGTTGATGGGTGACCCTCACCTGGCCGCAGGGGTGGACCCAGGGAGGGGTACATGGCCTAATCAGAACCAGCTGGACTCAATCCTTGGGACTTCGGGCTGGAGAAACCCAGGAGAAGCGCCCTCTAGAAATTGGGGAGAGGAAAGTCTGGAGAAGCTGGGGGCTCCCAGGAAAGAAGACCCTGCCGGAAAGTGAAGCCAGCACAGAGATGGGGTGGGGGGCAGGGTCCTGCTGATGCTGGATGAGGTCTGGGTAAAGCTGGCCCTCAACTTTTCAGGTATGTAAGCCAATCCATTGCCTTTTATGGATCAAGCCAGTGTAAGCTGACTTGCTGTCACCTGCAACCTATGAGTCCTGAAGAACACAAGCAGAGACCATGTTCCATTAAACCCTTTGTAAACACCAGCTGCAGCCCAGGCCTGGCACATAGTAGGTATTCAGGAAGTGACTGCTGAGTAAATAACCACCTCTCGAGCTGTGTATCAGCCTGTAAGCCTGGCAGATGCTTGGGGTCTCATCTCTGACCCATTTTCAGGTCAATCCTCGAGAGACAGACATGGGTACTTTCATCAGTTGGGTCAGGGTGGGAGGCTTGGTAAGGAGAGACAAGTGCCTCGTGGAGAGGGGAAGTGGGCGCCAAGGAGAATTTAGAATGTTCTTCTAAAATACAGCTTCTCCCCTTTCTCCTCTGCATCCAGGGCCCTTCGCGCTGGGGCTCCCACCAAACTTGCCTGCCTCATGTCCTAGCCACCGCCCCTTCCCAAAGTATCTGAAGATGATTTAGAGCTGTGCTTTGCAAATGAAGTGATGAAGCACGTTGGGAGGCATTTACAATATATGAGGCATTCCTTGGGGTTGTCACAGTGACTGGAGGATGCTACGGGCATCTGAGATCCCAGGGCCCAGGGGCTAAATGTCCTGAATGTGTGGGACACACAACAAGGCACTGCTGTACCCTACTGAGAAACTCTGTACCACGCCACCTTATCCACCATCTCCCTCTCACAAAGGACTCTGCTGCCCTGGGGCCTTTGCACACACTGGTGATCTCTCATCACTGCCCGGCACACTCCAGCCTACCCTCAAGGTCTGGCTCCAGGAAACCTCACCTGAGCCTCCACATAGAGCTAAAGGCTCTTGCACACATATTGATTCCATCGCTCCTCATACAGGTCCCTCCACGTCCTCAACTTCAGTCATCAGTGCCCTGGGACCACCTCCACTATTATTTATTAATTTTATTTTCCTTAAATACACACCTGGCTCTCTGTCTGGAAGGGAGATTGACGTGTGAGGTTTAGTCCTTGATGTAACCACAGGCTTTGGGAGGGAACTAGCAAGGGACTGTCTTTCTCATGTTGTGATTCAAGGTGCGATTCAAGGTGTGCAATGTTGTGAACTTGCACCAGAGGTCAATGTCCTTGTTCAGTCAGGGCCCTGCTCAACTGGACTGTTGGGGCTTCTGGAAACATGGGCCGAGCAGGTGACACGGGGCTCAGACAGGGTTGGGCCTTTGTGGCCAGGAACGTTCTTTGGAGCTCGGAGTGGATCTGGAAGGCCGAGCAGGGAGCAGTGTGGAGGGCGGGAGGGTGCGGGAGGGTCTATCAGCCAGGCAGGCAGGAGGTTCAACCCTCCACAGGTGCTCACCACCTCTGGGGCAGCTTCCTGGCTGCCAACCACTCTCAGAGCATTGAGAGAAGCATGCCTAGTGAAACTGGGTGGGGGGAATTTTCTGTAAGGCGAATTAAATTTACAAGTTTATTCCAAAATACTAAAATTCAAATATTCTAAACTTCAAAGTTTATTTTAAAAAATATCCCCCAAAGGTTGCCTTGGAGTTGGGCATCTTACAGTCAAGGTGCCTTTACTTCAGCCCCCTAGACGGGACTCCTGCCTTTACCCACAGAAACACCAGTCAAGGAGGACTCCGATGGCTCGCAATGTCAGAGGAAGCCCCCAGCCAGCTTATTTTCACCACTTCCTTTGTTTGTCACGTTGCTGACCTGACTCCCAAATCTTCCATGGCTCCCTATTACCCAATAGCTCTGGAATCCTTGCAGGCATTCACGGTCTTCCCTCTCTTGCTCCATTGTTCCCTTCCAGCCTCTTGCACTATGCACTGGCCAGGACGCCCTCCTGCTGCTCCTCTTGGTCTGTGTGTCCCCAACTCTTCCCAGGATCCCTGCGTCCACTCCTTCTGGAAGACTCTCCTCACATCACTCTCCCTCAGCTGTGATCCGTGAAACCAAGTCTCTCTCTGCTTCTCCTCTGAGCTCCTTCCATGCCCATTAGCCCCGCCATTATCAATGATCTTGCTATTCGCACAACTAGGCTTTAAGTTCTATGAGGACAAGGGCCAGACTGCTCGTGTGGTGACGAGCGCATAGTGCAACTTCAATAGCGATGTGTCAAGGAACTGATCATCCCACCTGGGAAATACTTACTAATAGTAGATATCAAATCTTGAAACCTTTCCTTAGGAAAGAGTGGGTTTTCCAGTCCTCGGAAATACAGTTTTAAAACCCCAGCGACCGAATTGATATCTCGTTCATTTTGGTCATCCACAAGGGGGTCTTCACCTGAGAGGAGACAGGAGATGACGATTCAGCTCGGTAAGGAGGCAGGGAACGTGCAGACGGCAGGAGAGAGGACCTGGCCCAGCCCGAACTAGAGGAGAGGCCGGCGGGACAGCCTCCCCAACACAGCAAGCTTAGAGTTCTCCCCGCAGCTGATCTTGAAAATGTTCAAAACTATAGAAATGTTGTAAAAATAAAACATGAACACCCATCACCCTTCACTTACACACATCAACTTACACTCACCTTGCCGTATCTGCTTTCTCTTTTCTCTCTACTTATGTTCATTATTGCTCAATAATTTGAGAGTATTTTGTAGACATCACAGTGTGTCACTGCTAAATACTTCAACACATTTCTCCTAAGAATAAGGATATTCTCCTACATAAGCAAACACTATTACACCTAAGAAAAATAACAACACTTCGAAAACACCATCTCATGTGCAGCCCACATTCAAACATTCCCAATTGTCCTGTGCCTTTCAAAGAATTTTTTCAAAAGCTAAGATCGAATCAACATTCACACAATTCATTCAGTTGTTCTGTTTCTCAGTCTTTTGAACGTAAGACTCCAACATTTTTTATTGTTAGTTTGCTTTTTATATTTATCATATTGCCTGTTTGGAAGAGTCCAGGCCCGTTGCCTTGTAGAATGCCTCACATTCTGGGTTTGTCTGATTGTTTCCTCATGGTTAGATCCAGGTTGAATATTGCTGGTAAGAATATCCCATGGGTGATGCTGTGGATGCCACATCGCAGCTGGAGGCACATAATGTCAGCCTGTCCTGCTACTGGTGATGCTAAGTTTGATCACGGGGCCAAGGTGGCGGCCTCCAGATCTCTACATGTAAAGGTATATTTTCTCCTTTGTAATAAGTGTAAAATATAAAATAGCTTTGAAAAAAAATAAGTGATCTATGTACATGCCATCACACGCAACATGTTGCACTCAATGCTTTTAGCATCCCACAATGATTTTTGCCTAAATCAATTATTACCCTGGAGTTGAAAATGGTGATTTTCTAATTCCGTCATCCCTTCCATATTTATCAGCTGGCATTCATTCTTCCCTAAAGAAGAACTTTCCCATGTCCCTTCACTCCTCCTATTATTATTTTTTGGCTTCTTTACAGACTTTTTTTGCAAGTTTTTATTCAATGTGTTATAATCCATTACCATCTCTATCCTTGGGGATGCTCAGATTGTCCCCAGTTTTGCCAGAGGGAGTTCTTTTTTATGTCCTTCTGATGTGACCTCTACTGAGCACTTCCTTGCTTTCTGGCACAAAAGACGTCCCTGGGTCACCTGTACTTTCCTTCTCGCAGATCTGGAATCAACATTTCTCCAAGAAGCTCTGTTTGCTTTCCGTGGGGAAATGGTACTTAGAAACAAGACCTAGGTTCTCGGTGTGCTCATTGCCACGGGAGTGCCGGAAAGAGCGTCTAGGCCCTTTTAGGGAATAGAGCGAGAATATGTTTTCCATGAGTTCATACTGATATTTCCAATTCATATTTAAGATACAAGGTTTTCTTCACCTTCATTTATTTTATATTTGTACTGCATTTTTCTTATAGTGAAAATTTTGGTTCCAAATAACATTAATAATTAATGTATTTATGTACTTGCCTTATCTAATAATAGACTTAAAGTGGTTCCAGAATTTTAATAGCAATATTGCCACTAACAATACACCTGATACATAAAATTTAGGATTTCTTTGCGGGGCTTTTGTTTTTGTTTCTGTTTTTATTCCTCAGAATGTATCCCACTAAAGATGTACGGTCAGAAGACCGAGTAGATTAGTGGTTGCCTGGGACTGGGCGCTGGGGGCTAGGGGACATATGGAGCGACTACAAATGGGTACAAGCCTTATGGTACGTAGCTCAATAAAGCTGTTAAAAACGTACGACTTGGGGCTGGCCTGGTGGCACAGCGGTTAAGTGAGCACATTCCACTTTGGTGGCCCAGGGTTCGCTGGTTCAGATCCCAGGTGTGGACATGGCACCACTTGGCAACCCATGCTGTGGTAGGCGTCCCACGTATAAAGTAGAAGAAGATGGGCATGGATGTTAGCTCAGGGCCAGTCTTCCTCAGCAAAAAGAGGAAGATTGGTGGCAGATGTTAGCTCAGGGCTAATCTTCCTCAAAAAAAAAAAAGTATGACTTTCTGTGTGGTTATCAATTTGATACAGAGCTTATTTGCTTCTATTTATATTCAGTTTTAGGGATTGATTTTTTTTTTTTTAGAAATCCTTTTTTTTTTTAATTTGCAGTTTTGAAAATATAAAGCATTTACATGGTTTCAAAGTCAAAACCAGATAAACAGTTGCGCTCAGAGAAGCCCCGTTCGTATCCTTGTCCCCTCCACACCACACCTTTAACCATTTTCATTAGTTTCTGGTTTGTCCCGCTGTGTTTCTTTCTGCAAAAACAAGCAAATACATATATACAAATTTTTTATTTTCCCTCATTTCTTACACAAGATGTAAGTGGCATACTATAATACTACATATACTTGTTTCTTCTCTTAATAAATTCTAGAAATCTCTCCACATCTATTCATGGAGATCTTCCTCATTTTTTTTTTTTTTGATGGCTGCACAGTCATCAAAATGACTAAATGACTACTCTACTTTATGGATAGACCATAATTTAGTCACCCAGTCTCCTCTAGATTGACATTTGACTTCTTTCCAATATTTTGCTATTACAAATATTGCAACAACAAATAACCCTGCACGTGTGCTTTTGTATTCGTGGAGGAGCGTCTCTGCGGTAAGGTCCTGACCTGGGATTGCCGGGTCAAAGGGTAAATACACATGCAGTTTCATCAGATACAGGCAAACTCTCCTCCATGGGGGCCACATCCTTCTACACTCTCACCAGCAACACAGCAGAATGCTTCTCTCCCACGGCCCTGCCCACGCGATGTTGTCAATCTTTTGCATTTTTGCCAGCTGGAGAGGGGAAAATGATATCTGAGGACAGCAGCGCTTCTCAACCTAGTCGGGGGGCTGCTGAGCTAGTGCCCCACCTGGAGATTCTGCGGGGGTGGTGACAGGAAGCAGGGAGCAATCTGACACCTCCCTGAAGGCGAGGAGAGATGTCTGCATAAGGGGTTCTCCTCCTCCTCCCAGAGCAGCCCAGAGCACCTCTAAGATGGGCAAGCAGTGAAGAGCAGAACTGGAAATTCATTCTTGGCTCTCTTCACACCGCCTCCGCAGGAAGACTGCTACTGGCAGGGCCTTTGCTAGCCCCAATATGCTTTAGTGCATATTAGAGAAAGGCCTCCTTGCCTTCCTGAACAGGGCTTGTGGCTTACAGAGCATGAGCCAGAGTTCAGCTACCACCTGCTCTCTTGGTTGAGCATCCTTGAGCAGTGCCCAGCCTCAACAACTATGTGTGACAGCCCAGACACTGATGTTCCATATGTCAACCTCTCAGATGTCCCCAAGGGAGGAGATGAAAACACTTCCCCAACAAGACTTTCTCAGGGGGAAGGAAGAGAGAAAACATAAAAAATTAATGCCTATACTACTATAGCACTTCTCAAGCGAGAAGCACACTTGCACATCTGATGTCTCTAAATCCTCACAACAGCGCGGCATGGCACTGAGGGAGGCCCGGTTCCAACGCCACCATCCTCGCCCGCAAGAAAGCTGAGGCCCCAGCAAGTGAACAACTTGCCACATTCGTGCAGTCAGGAACAGACACCAGCAGCTCCCAGGTCTCAGAATGCCTGGGAGATACGCTTTTTTTCTACCCATGGTTTTCAATTCTGCCTGCCTGCCTGTCTGCATGCATGCCTAGCCACCCGTCTCCTTTCCTTCTCTCCTTCCTTTCTAGCAGAATCCCAACCTTTTCTTTCTTTCTTGAGAAAAAAGTTCCTATGAATGCTCAGCACAGAGAACAAAGCTGTCTCGATTGAACTGGGGGAGAGGCCCCAGTGCTCCTTCTCAGCCCCTGTCTATCCCTGTCGCAGCCCTTGAGGCCCCCTGAAGGACCACAAGAGTTCGAAAACTCTGCACTGTATTAAGCTGTTCCCTGTCACTGCCATGCATTACTCTTGTGCTCTCACAATGCCGAAGCACATGGATTTTCCCCTCTATATTATGTATTAGCTCCCCCGGTAAGCATGATTAACGTGTCGACTTTACACACACACCGCATTAGTCCTTGCTCTTCCTCAGAACGCACTTAATTCACTAAGGAGCCATCCAACACTCCTTCCCAGGCCTTTGGCTCTCCACAAGGCTAGTCAATTTTGGCTCCCAAAACGAATGGAATTCCAGAGCTCAAGATGAGCAAGATGGTTTGTGTGAATGATGGATTCCTCCAGGAGGATAATTAGAGCTAAAATTCCAGGCAAGTCTGAGAGAAAGCTGTGTTCACACTTCGCTAGCAAATGTCGCGGGGGAGGTGGAGTTGTTCCCAAACAGCCTGCCTGCGGCTTCCTCGTGGCCAGGTCACCTGGGCATCACTGCACCCAGGGCAGAATGTGAATGCGCAGTGTGTGCATAAGGTTCCAGGGGACCTTGCTGCTGGCTGGGGGCCCAGCAGGCAGCTGTGGGAGGTGTCTCTTGCAGGGCAGTTCTCTGTGGCCACAGGTCCACCCAAACCCATCCTGAGGTTCCTCCCAGCGCCTCCTGGTCATACCCTCTTCCTGGGACAGGAAACAGATCCCAGAGGGGCCAGGCCCAGAGTCCAGCAGGTGTCAGACGCTACATGACCTTTAGCTCCAAACCCAAACACTCTTTTTTTTGTGAGAATGATTTGTCCTGAGCTAACATCCGTTGCCAATCCTCCTCCACTTTGTATGTGGGACGCCTCCACAGCACGACTGCTGAGCAGAGTAGGTCCACACCGGGGATCCGAACCTATGAACTCGAGCCGCCAAAGCAGAGTGCGCAGAACTTTAACCACTCAGCCACCAGGCCAGCCCCTCCAAACCCTATCTACATCTGCACAGGGTGAAATGGCCACTGATTCTCTTCCCAGCCACCCTCCACATAAGGAGAGACCACTGGCAGCTCCCTCATCTTTGTGTACAAAGAGGAGAGCGGATTGGTTTGTGGGGAAAAACAGAGAGATGGAAAACCAGCCTGAGAGACAACAGCACCACAGCTCTCTCCATGGCCAATTCCTGCCTTGTCATGATGTTTTCTCCTTCATTTTGCCAGAAGATTACAACATCTCAAAACTTTAGTGGTGACTTTATGATTTATTGGCAGCAAAAAAATAATGATAATAATAATAATCCCAACTAAAACCCTGGTTGACTCATGTCAGAAGAAAAAGAAAGGGAGTTTAGGAATCACAAGCCGAGAACGGATTTCCAACATGCTGTAATTTTTCAGAAGCTTAAGGAAAAGAGACCTGTGCTCCTTTCAACAGCCTTATGCCAGGAATGTAGGCAAGAAATTCGCCCCAGAGAGAGACAGAAGAAAGAGACGCAAATCTCTTTGAACAAGTGGCAAAGGATAGGCAGCCTGCACAGATTAGAGGGTTTAAAATTTCAAAAAAGGAAGAAGGGAAAAACACACAATGTACTGGTTTAGAGAGAAAGTTCAGTGACAAGCTAGAGTGTGTGGGACGTGAGGAGTGGGCAAGAAGAGGAATACGGAGCCGCGCCAGCTCGGGCCACCTGGTTCCCGGGGAAATGTGGAGAGAGATGCGGCTGAGCCAGCAAGAGGGAAGCTACTAGTTTCAGCAGAGGTAGGAGGAGGTGACTCTGAGGGTCAGCTGGCTAATTGGTTGGTGAATGTCAAGAAGCAGAAAAGAAGAAGTGAGAAATCTGGGTACTAGCCAGCCCAGAGAAGCCAGGATGTTCCTACCAGAGACACACCAGGAGCAATTCTTTTAGAATAAGCCATGCTTCACTGTAGGCTCGGGTGGAGCAGAAGGGCAAGGCCAGAGAGCGAATGAGATGCATCTGGGAAGGATGGAGAGCTGCAGAGGAGCCAACTGCGTACGTGAGGCCAAGAAAAAGCAGAAAATGTTTCCTGCAGGTTGCGATCTGGGTCAGCTGATCTCTGCCCAGCGGGGCTCTGCCCAGCACAGTCCAAAGCTTATTAGGAGCGGAGAATTCCTTTAAATTGCACATCACCTCTGCAAGGCACCCAAGCGAGTGACAGAGGCATGGACCTTCGAAAATCACATTCAGGAAGGACAGAATGCAGCACTGCTGGGGTGGTGCCTGGGCGGGGATAGGGCCTGGCTGCCTGGTACAGCGAGGTGACTTCTAGGACATGGGGAAGCAGGCAAATGCAGGGGTGGGAGGGGAGTACCAGGCTGGAGGCCCCGTGTGGTGAGTTTACTCATGAGATTCAAGGAATTCTGTATAATGGGATGAGCCCAGGAGGATGGAACCAGCAAAGGTTCCAGACCACGGCTCTGTTTATTTACAGTGAACACAGGGCAGCAGGGGTGCTAAGGTATTGGGGGAAATGAAGAAACGAAACTCTAGATTGGGCTGTCCAGGGTTGCCAAGAGGAGCTCAGGGAATGATGAACGGTGCTTCCATCAGGGAGGCTGATGGGGGATACGTCTTGCTCTGTGGCCTCTGCACATGCTGTTCCCTTGGTGTGGACCACCCTTTCCCTGGCTCTTACTCTTTAAGCCTCAGCTTAGGCATTTCCTCCTCCAGGAAGCCTTCTCTGGCTTTGTTGTTCCTCCTTGCTCCATCCAAGCCAGGCTAGGGGCTCCCATGCTCCCCAGTGCCTCCTCCATGGTGGCACCGACCATACTGTCTGTTTACTAAACTGGCTCCCCGACTAGCAGGGACTGTCTTGTTCATACTGTATTTCCAGGCCCCAGTCCATTAGCTAGCGCAGTTTGGGGCTCAACGCATGCCTGTTGAGTGGATCGATAAATGCAAGAGGAGCTTGCAGCAGGGGAATTCTGGGACAACCTGGTTCTAAGTTCCCAAGATCCTGGAGTGGCGCTCCAGAACTGAAGCTCCCCCTGGACCTCAGAGGGTCACTGAGTGTCACATCCAGCCAAACCCTGCTCTCTAGCCCTCGTTCCAAGCCAGAGCACCTAGGACTGCAAAGGTCTGAGCTGGGGGCTGTGGTGGTGACCGCCTGGGGCTGACAGCACTTCCTCCACCCTAGCCCTCAGGATGCAATAGGGGTGGGGGTGAGGGGGTGAGTTTGCCCAGGAGGCAGCCCCTCCAGGGGAAGCCTGATAATAAGTAGGAAGAATTCCAGAGCTGGAACCCCCTGGGAGAGGCTGCTCAGAGCACAGCAACGGGGACAAACCATACGCACCCCCAAGGCTGTTAGGAGGGTTAAGTAGAAGAAAGTGCTCTGTAAACTGGGATGCGATAGACTGCGGGGAAATGGTTTGGGATTGAGGTCCTCAGATCAAACAACACTGGAACCACTCAGAGAAAAAGGCAGTGGATCAGAGTCAAGAAGGATAAACGAGGGAGATGTGATCCTTCCAAAATGCTGTTAAGCTGGAGGCAGAGATACTGTTTAGGATGCTACAGACGAACTCTTCCTTCCTCCTCTGGGATGAGGATATGAACTTCCTAATGCCGGGCTTGGTTCAACAACCCGGGAGTGTGATGTTTGAAAATGTTTCCCTGAATGGAAACGCACGGACTTCCAGCTCTACTGTAGTAGTGAGACAAGCACCGAGGATAGAAAGGCAGAGGTGGAGTAAGAACTGGGCTTTTCCCGACCCAGTGAGTCCTGACTTTGCGTGGACACTGTCACTGGCCGCCTGTCCCCATCAGGGATTCTGAGGCCAAGGGAGGCTATATCAAATAAGCCAAATGTACTCCTGGTCTGGTGGCCACATCATTTCCAATACGCTTTTATATCCTCGGGGGATGAAAGCGGGAACTAGGGAACCTCACCAGGGGTAGGGAGGTCTCTTCCTCCCAGTATGTAGCTCTGCCAAGAACACAGCATAAAAAATTAAGAATTAGGATATTCCAAAAGCCGCTCAGTGTTATCTGTGTTCTTCCAACTTTCCTAAAACACAGCAGCCTTTACAGGCTCATATAATAATTCCGGGGTGCTTTACGAGGCCTTCTTTCCCAGGAACCACTGTACAGCCCACCAGAGAAAGTCACCCACGTATGCTGGTAAATGTTTAACATTTTAGCTCTTTGGAGGGGAAGAAGAAAAATAAAAGATCTCAGCGTTCGCCAAATTCTGTGGCGTAAATACTCCCGCCTTGGCTGATTTCAAGCTACCAGGGTGAAGCTGTGGACGCCAAGTGGGAAGGAGACTTTGATACAAGCCAGCCCCAGCACACCACTGGCTCTAAGACACACGTTCACACCCACCCTGGCTTACTCGGGCCACAAGCTTGAGATGGTCGCTCTGCACCTACCTCTCTCAAAGGAATTTTTGATGTCATTGACTTCGACCTGAGATCCTGGCACTCTGAAGATCCCTTGCTGCTGGAGTCCTGAAAGAAACAAACAAACAAAGGCCAGGAGGTGCTGAGTTCATCAGACTACTTGGAACACGGATGACTCTCCCCATTACTTGTCTCTCTCTCCCACCATCCTTTATAGGAGTCCTTCCCAGTGAAGGTCTCCCGGGAGGAGCTCCACGGTAGCCTTCGCAGTGAACTTCAGCTGGCCAAAATACTCAGACACATCTTGCTTCATATGTCTGTGATCTCTTGTCTGGGCTTGAAGGAAAAGGCCACAAGAAGTTTATATCAACACTGGACCAGTGAATAACTTCCAACTTAACCCACAGGTCAGCTCAATCAAATAGCTGGTTGGTACACTTCGCCTCCCGAGCTCACCAGGTCCATTGGTACCAACAGCTTGGCCTGAGTTTGCAAATGCCATTTGAGTTTCACAGCCACACAGATTTTGAACAAGAATGATTAATATCACTCCTTCAACCATTCCCGCCCCCGACACGGACATCTTCTTCCTTCGAGAAAAGCTCGAGTCTAGAGTACATGCTGGCCTGGGATCGAGGAGTCTGGGGAGATTAAATTATTAAAGAAAAACAATCGCATATTTGTATGTGTTTCTACAAGGCCATAACAAAGAGGAGACCCTGGGACCTGACATGAGAGTAACAACACAACAGCAACCTGCAGGACTGAAGGAATGAAAGGGCCTCCCTCATCTGAAATGGGACTCAGTGGGGGACACTGGCCGTTCTCTCCACCTGGACTGGATGGCTGGCTTCTACTCAAGCATCAGCCCCTGGAGGGCTCTCTCCTCACCACCTTAGCGGAAGCAGCCCTACCCCCTCCAGCCATTCTCTATCCCCTTCTAATTCATTTCTTGGCATTATGACTACCTAAAATTATATTATTTATTTCTCTGCTTGTTTATTCCCTTGCCCTTCTAACTGATACTGTAAGCGACCTAGGGCTGGCACCTCACCCGCCTTGTTCACGCCTGCATTCCCACTGTCCCCAACAGCACCCGCTATGCACTCTGAAAATATATTTTTGGAGGAATGAATAAGTGAATAGACAGAGCACAAGTCAAGCATTGGGGATACCATGGTTAGCAAGTCCCAGACACTGGATTTCCTTCATGGAGTTGACTAGGATCCAGCAGTATTAACTGACTGAGTGGCCAATGACATTCAGTCAATGACATCCAAAGCACAGAGCTCTGGGGTTAGGTGGGAGCAAGGAAGGAGCTAAAATGGTTCTCCTGTCTGGGCCCTCCCTACTCCTCGGTTTCCCTAGCCCCTGGGTCTTCTCCCCACCACCTTCCAGCCCCGACACACAAGGCTCAAAAGACAGTGCTCAGGAGGTTCTGTTCCACGGAGCGTTTTCCCTCTCAGAAGCAGAGCAGTGACAGGAAGTCTTCCAAGGTGAACTAGAATCTCATTTCCTACAAGAACAGCCTAGCACCTGTTCTGGAGAGAGCTGAAAACACGGCCCCACGAGCGAGCTTACCGTATAAATTGATGTATCGGATGCAGCTCTCAACTACGAGTGGGATAGCTTGTCCTGAATCCTTAAGAAAAAACATTGTGAGTTGTATTGGGCTTGGCAACCACCACAGGGAAAAAGACACTGCAAACACAGATTATAAACTCAAGCCAGAATATTAGTACCATCAGATTAGTAGGAGAATAAGCATGGAACTGCTAACCCTAAAGGCTCCACCAACAGTGAAAATAGAGTCTTCAGTTATGTGCAGAAAAAGGCGTAGCCAGGATGCTTGTAAAGAAATGCTCTGTCTTCTCTCTCAGCTGGGGAGGAATCGGGGCTCAGGAGGCTTGGGGGCACATCTAGGAAGGGGAGGGACCCACCGCATGGAGGGGGCTGGAGTCTGCTCCTCAGGAGTCCTCTGCCTCCCGGTCCACTTTGCCCCAACCCAACCCTATTCTCCCAGCGCTCAAGGATTGAAAGCCTGGCTCCAGGCCCCCTCCTAGGTCAGCAGCCCCCGAGGCCAGAACTAAGAAGAACCCACGATGGGAAAGCAAGGCTGCCCCGGGGGTCCTTCTGAGCTCTGAGACGAGAAGACCAGTTCATATTACAACCTAAACATCCATACAGATATTTGTTTAACAGTAAACATGGTACAAGGAAAAGTTCTAGAACAACTAATGTCAGCTCTGGACCACTGAGTAGCCAACCTTAGTCACAAAGGCCAAATAAGATGGAGTTCTAAACATATGCATCTGGGCTGCGAAAGCATTTTCAATTACGTCTTTCTAGACCGGCCCAAGCCACAGAGAGCAAGGGGTACTTTTGGATTCCACAATTGGTTGACCTCCCTTTTATTTCAGGCCACTTAAAGAGCATAACATCTTTTTAAAACATTTTTTTAAAAAGGGCCAAATTAAGGTACTAGTCTCCTCAGAAGGTAAGGAAACAAGAAGATATATGTAACATGCTCTTGTGAAGGGACAGAGGAAAACCCATGAATTTGGATGTCTCATGGCGCCTCCACACCCCACCTGTGAATTCTTTCCTTGATTAACTACAGTCAGGGAAACGACAGTAAAATGGACCCACTGGTGACAGGCAACGTGGGCCCTGTTCCAGAAGTGAGTACTCAAGGCAGGTTCCATCCGGTTGAAGGGGGCTAACGGACCTTTCTAGTAAATACCTGGTTCCTGGCTCGAGCATTTCTTCTTCCTCTGATAACAAAACATAAACAGGCAGCAGAGCAGGAGAAAAAGAAAAGATTACGCAGGAGTGAGATCAGTTAGGGTAAGCAGATCCTTCGGCGTCCGCGAATGCCCAAATGCAGTGGCAGCCCACCAAGGTCCTGGGGAGACCAGCAGCCATCCTGCCGGGGGGGACGGCCACCCCTGCGCCCCTGGGCCTCACAGGACTTCTGGGCCCTGCCCCCAGCCAGCCTTCCAGGTGGCAAAGGAGCCCCTGTGATTCCTTGTCTATGGAACCCGTTCAAGAAAGGGTTCCATGTTGACCTGCTTCTCAACACAGGGGCTGTTCATTCACCAGTGGACAAGAGCCCACCTAAGACCCCTTCCAGTCAGCCCAGCTGCCCACACAAAGGACGGACATAGACCTTCACATGTCTACTGTAACGCTGTCCCTGGAATTCAGCTCAGGAAACTTCATTCTTAGTAAAAAGCTAATTTTACCAAGATCGTGTTGACCAGGGCCCCTCTGTATGGGACCCAAAGGATTCGCCTGATTCTAAAGTCCAAACAACTTCCAGTGTTTTCCTACCAAACAGGCTCGGGAGTTTTTCCTGGGTATCCATTTGGCTTTTCTCTCCTTCCTACCCGCTGACCCTCGCACTGGCACTGAGAACACCTCAGGGAAGCCCAAAGGCTGAGGAAGGCCTGGGAGAGGGAGGCAGGAGAGAGTCAGGACATCTTCGGGATCTTGCTCCCAAGAACTGGAGCCCCTGTGGTCACTAAAGCCACTGAAGCCGCCCCTTTGCAGGGGAGCGCTGTCTGTTCTTCCTTCCCACATGTGCAGTGGGTCAGGCTCTGGGTGGGTGCTAGGTCTCATCCAGGCTCCTTGAAGAGGCCGAACTGAGAAACTAGGGGAGGTGTAACTTGCAGCTGGTGTCATCTGCCCAGTCCCCAACGTCTCATACCATATGTTGGCTAAACCTACCTGAATCCCAGAACTGAGCAAACAGCACGGTCAGATGGGGCTCATGAGCAATCTCCTAAAGCTAATGGCAAAGATAACAGCTAACACGCCCACGGTGCTCACTGTGTGCCAGGCAGCGCTCCAGAAACACGGCGTACGCCAGCTCATGTGATCCTCGTCCCACACTCATGCGGTCGGTGATCATCATTTTCATTTCATAGAAACAAGGTGAGGACTCCCCCCCCCCCACAGAGGTAGAGCTCCTGGGCTTCAAAATTTATAATAAAAATTGGTTTTCCTTCTATCTGAGGAGAAAAAAAAAAATCAAGGATTTTGAAAAGGGTCAATTCAGGTAGGGTCCTAGAAATTTACGAACGTAACTCCAACCACATTTATCCATCGTTCCTAACTTAGCAGTGCCTCCTTGTCCCTCTATATCATCATAATCATGGAGTCCCAGTGATGTCATTTGATTGAAAAACCTTTCACAGGTTTGGCATTTCAAAGCTGGGGAGTCTGAGTTCACACAGAATCTTCTTCCAGATGGCGTGGGAATCACAAGAGAAAATTAACTTCCATCACCAAGGTGGAAGGACTGACTGGCTTTTCATTCGCTGACAGTTAATAACCCTGGAGAGTAAGACCACGCTGCGTGCAAGTCTGTCTGCGCACCGCCTGGCTAACAGGGGCGCAGAACGGTTGTTGAACTGCACTGATAGGACGTGGTACAAGCACAGTGTGACTATGAAGAAATGCAATTTAACAGATAGACCTTTTATTTTTCAGCCAAACAGTCCCTTGAGGAGGCTGTGCCCTTATTCCAACAATGTGCCACTCTCAGTGCTCTGGGGTGTCCTTCTTCGGGCGCTCTTTGCAGAGCCAGCCGACCAGCCTCACTCTAGAAGACGCCTCTTGCCCTTCTGTACGTCCAGTGATGCTGCTAGGCTGAGCTCGGAAAGGCGCTTCTCATTCCAGAGGCCAAGCTGTCCCTTCTAACACGCAGTTCTGGCATCACTGACAAAGGCCGTGCTGCAGGCTCTAGAGGAGACTGACCAAGGGCAGCAATGGTGACATATTCAGAAGAAGAACGTGGCTTCCCCAGGCGACTCCCTCCAAGGGGCAAACGCTCACGTGGTTGAAGAAGTTCCGATGTGTTTGTCAGATCCCCGGAGAGTCACACATTTTACGCAGGAGCTCTCTCTTAAAAGACTTCATTAAACAGAACGCCTCATTTTCAGATCCTGGCCCATGAGTCAGCCCCTTCCACGTGTCCTGACTGGTCACCCATCTCCAAAGAGCTGAGCAAATGAGGGAAGGCGTCCCTGTCTCTGAGCCTCATTTGTTCTGTTCCTCCTTTCAGGGGCTCCTCGGTCCCACTCCTGGACACCTTACTCCCACCCTTCCTTCCAAGCCCCGTCAGAGCCTCCTGTGCCCCGGTGCTCGTAGCTTTTCCCGCTCTGCACTCTCACAGCACTTGCTTCTGCGCATAAGCTACTGAGTGTTGTCTGACTCGCCTCACACTGCCAGCTCTCTGTGTTGAAGACCTCCCGAGAGGGCAGGGGGCACAGCTGACATGGCCCGTCTCAGCCATGGAGGGTGGCACTTTTGAGGGCAAGGGTGGCCGAGAACAAAGGCTTGGAGGAGAGAGGAGGGGGGATGCAGAAAGACTCTGACACAGCCCCATCCTCCATGACCTACTGGATTGCAAACTGCTCCCTCAGAGTCACCTCCAAGCACTCTCTCTCCTCCTTTTGGGATCCTCTATGCCTCGCTCCTCTGAGGTACCCCAAAGCAGCCCTTGCTCTTCCCGGCCCTGGGCAATCCCAACTCGTACTGTACTGTCCCACTGTCCCTTTTCCCCACTGTCCCCTCCCCAGAACCCAGCCCACAGACAGAGACAGTCCTGGGACCCAGGCTGGTCCTTCCTCCTCCTCCCAGGCCTGAGACCAACCCTCCCCTACTGCAAGTCCTGTGTGTACCCTGTCTGAGGATGGAGGAGAGAGGGCTGGAGCACGGGCAGCCTCCACTACTCCTGAACTGTCAGCAAAGCCCAAGAGCCTTGACTTTTCTCCTGTGACACTAGTCTTCTTTCCTTTCTGCAAGGATCTTCAGAAGATGGTGGTGGGCTCTCAAATAACTGGCAGCGGTCTTCTCTCCTGTTCCCCCTAAATAACGTTAAGAGTTCATCTGCCCTTTCTCCAGTCTCTCTTGACATGCTGCCCTTTTCAACTCCATCACCACCTTAATTTGCCTTGGGCCATTCTATCTGGGATGGCTGGATCCTGTACCTTTTGCATCCAAGAAGCAAGTAACGAGAAACTCACCTAGCTGAAACGCTTGAATTTTTAGTTTAGGGTGGAAAGGGTTAACCTGCAATTCTGAAGGGGCGACCTCAGCTCTTCTCCCTCCTCCCAGACCACTTAACGAGAAGCAAAACTGGGTGGCACGGTTTTCTCTTATACAAATCGCACATGTTTCTTTTGCTGGTATATTCTCAACCACAACCAAAAAATCACTTGTATAGAAACATACTGTTGCCCACAGGGATTTTCTTTGTGTTGCTTCCAACCAACCTCCTCTTGGGAGATGCAGGTGTGAAGCGAGGTGAGGATGTGGGTGTGAAGTGAGGGAAGGGAGTTTCTCTAACTGTCCCTCGGGCTGGTTAGGACCCTGGTTCCTGAAGCAATAAAGCCTGGCTGGCAGAGACCACTGGGCTGGCATTTCAACCCCACTGCCTTCACTGGGTTTCTTCATGGTCACATCCCTCCCCTGGGAACGAGATCACGGCAAGGCACTCAGGAGCAACTGGTCAGAGACAAAAGCTGCTCTGATTAGAAGCCCTTACTGAAGCCACGAGCAGGCTGCAGTGAGGACCCAGCTCCCCAAAGGGCCTGGCTGAGGGCACAGACTGAAAGTTCTGGTTGGTGGAGGCAGGGCTGCTGGCAGGGGAGGAGGTGGAGAAAGGCTGCCATTACATTGGGCGCATTCGCGGACTCCATGGCTCCCCAGCAAGTACCTTAATGAACGCTTCCATACAGCCGTTAAATAGTTTATGGCTACACACTGAGAGAGGCCTAGGTCTCCTCATTTTCTGTGGTTTAGGGGGAAGACAGGGGGGCCTAGGGGAAAACGGAACAAAAGAAATCAAGAAAGCAACCAAGGTAAACATACAACTGGGAAGGACGCTCTGCAAACCCATGACGGGAGGAGAACACAAATGTAGGTGGAAGCCCTGAGCCCCCAGCACATTGGCGTCCAATGCTCCATCTGAAGGCCTTTGGATGTTTAAGGGGATCTTAATGGACCCGCAATGTGAAGCAGGAGCAATTCTCGTATAACTCAAGTGCGTTCTAAATCATAGGGGGAAATGGCACATGTCCAGGAAACCAGTGAAACTCCCATCAGAGGCTGTCATCCTGCACAGCTGACCAGATGGAGGGGGAGTCAGGGCAGAGAGACACTCTGTAGCCTGAGAAAGCAAGAGACTTTCAAACATGATTGGAAGGGTTAATTTTCATTATTTTGGCTTAAATTCTTCACCCAGTCTCAGCTCCCAATGGACCAGAACACTGATCTTCCTAATGCCTCTTGGCATTTCAAATGCACTTGACTAATCTGTATTTCATTGACCTAAGCACCAGGCAATTATTATTCTTATTTTAGGGATGAAGAAACTGACGCCAAGAGGGAGGCTGCAGCTTCTTTGGGGTCCCTGGGTGACCCAGGACAATGACTACATCCTGTTCTTTAGTCAAGTACACTCTCAGTTAAAGCGCTTTCAAATCCATGACCACATCCAAGGTCAGCTCAACCCTGTACGTATGGCCTCATTTTACAGAAGAAGAATCTGAGGCCTAGAAAGGGGAACTGGCAGAGCCAGGCCCCAAACCCAGGCTTCTTTGGCTCCAAGTCCACAATTTTTACCACTGGGCCAGTCATGGAGCCGTAGGGCACTTTTTCATTTCCAGCCAAGGACTCATCCATCCCATTAACCCTTGCCAGTGGAGGACCTATGGGGTCAGGTTGAAAGTGTCTTGCTTTACTTTAGGATCTCCATTCCCTGTGCTCCACAGTTGGCCACAGGGAGGGGAAACCATAGCATGGTTCACTAGGAACAGTGAAACAGCCACAAACACTGGACCAGTTTCCAGAGTTGCTCACCATGCATATACCTGTGTTGGCTTATTTGCTCATCTTTCGCCACCCAAGTTGGCCTGACTCAATGCTGCCAGTCTTCCAGGGCAAAATGGCTTTATGAGGTTAGGAGGAGGGCCCCTAACCAAGAGAGGCAGTCTGTTTTCAAATGGCTTGGTTCGCAATTTGGGGAGCAAGAAGTGGGAACCCAGCCTGGCACAGATAATGTCCACATGTGACAAGAAAGACCTGGTCCCCCAGGTCTTGATTGACTTTCGTGAATGGGCAAGAAATCTTCCGGACTTTGGAGCCAATCAAGGTGAATGAGATTCATGCTGCCTCTGCTCACTGGCCTCGTTGAGCCCATCTCCCTCAGTAGCCCAGCCCTCTGGGAAACTGCAACCAGCTCCTCAACCAGCTCCTCCTAGGCGTTTGCGTATTGAGCAAATGTGGCTAGCTCCAGGACATGCATGGGCAAAGACACAGTTGAATCCAAATATCATGCCACCCAAACATGGGAACCAAAAGAACAGCACAGACCAAAATTTTGAAATGAAACAACAGGCAAGATTATTTCAAGCCCATCTTGGATCTCTGTCAATTTGGTTAGCTAGGTCCATGTCATTTCTTTTTTCTTAAGTTACCTATTTTTTGAGGATGTGGGTAGATGGAGGTGATATTTCTGACAACAGATCTGCTTCTGAATTTCCAAATGCCAAAAGAGAGTGCCAAAAATGTGACACAAGGCCATAGGTTTTAAGTCTTGGGATCAGGAATAACTTGAAGATAGCAACTTCGCCACCTTGTTTTCATAGGGTTTTGGGTTTCTGTTTTTGAACATTCTCAGGTCATTTCCTCACCTCACATTGCATGATACCCTCACAACAGCCCTGTGAGGTAGGCAAGAATTATTAAACCCACTTAAAACGTAAGGCAAATGAGCCCATGAGAGACTAAGAAACTCGCCCAAGGTCACATAGATAATATGTGATTGAGGCTGGGGATAGAATTAAGCTACTCAGTAGGAAGACTACTTAAGATTCTAGTGTGAATATGCAATTGGGAAGTTGACTTTATCTCAGAACATCCAGCAGTAGCATTAAATTATCTATTAAATTGGCCAGCAAGAGTGGAGACTCTTAATGCAGATGTTGGACACCCAATATCAAAAAATCTAGGGTGCCCAGCTGGAGGGTTTCCTTAATAAATCCTAAGGATTTTTCTCTCTTTAAGTTTACAAAATGGACTAAAGGGAAAATAGGATGCTTTTTCCCATGTCTCCTGCCCAATCCACAAGGCAAAGGGCTGTTCAAATCACAGAGGGATTTCTTTCTCTGTGTGGTGCTCTGTGCACTGACCGGAATCTCTGACAAGGAAACGTAGCTATCCCAACTTTGCAGGACATCAAATCGAGACCGACTTACTGAAGTGCTGGGTGGGGCACAAAGTGGGGAGCAGGGGGGCAGCTCAGCCAAGGAAAGTGGGGCAGCCTAAGCCTTCCATCTCTTCTGCTGCTCAGTTGCAGAGCAAAAAGGAAAGAAAGAGAGAGAGAGAGGCAGGGAAAATAGGAACAGAGAAAGCCACGGAGAGGAAGAAAGAGAAACCAGAGACCAATGTCCCCTTTCTGCCTTTGAACCAATAGGAAAATTAACATACATTGGCAACACAGGAATTGTCCTCAAAATTATTCTGTGACCAAAAGGATGGTGATTAAAATTTTCCCTAGACAACCCAACAGACATGGGTGTCAACATCCAAGATGGCGGCAGTTCAATGGTGGTCAGGCTCTCGGAGGCTGTGTGTGGGTGCATGTCAGGCTGCATCTGTTTGGACAAGAAATCTCAAGTGATTTCACTGCTAATCCAGACCACAGGGGCAAGTCAACCTGGGTTAGGGAAGCCAGTCTTTAGTCTGAGTAACCATAACCAAACCTTACGTTTGCGTCTGGCTTTGCCATTTACCACACACTTTTCAAGTGCATTATTGCATCTGGTTGGCCTAATTACACGGTTATTATGAATCTGGGCTATTCTAAGGTTCTTAAGTGTGAGAAAAAATATAATGTGTTGCAGCCCATGTGCAAAAAATTGGTCTGTCTATACACAGCCAGCAGCAACTTGGCTAAGGGGACCTGCTCAAATGACCATCCGAATGACACCAATCTTGGGCAGGAAACTACGGAACATACAGAAAGCCATAGCACCCCTCTCACCCCGGGCCTTTAAGATTTATTTTAAAACCACTTCCAAGTTGGCGATGCACTGCACAAGTGAAAAAAATGATTTTTGGAAGTAAGGGGAAGCTTTTAGTTTACTGACAAAGTTGCCTTTGAGCTTGGCCAAGGGCCCGAGTGCAGATGGCTACGTGTGCAGCATAATGCAGCATATCCAAGTGGGAGGTCTATAACCTAGCTTGGATTTCCCAGGCCCTAAGTCAAAGAGGGTGTGGAAAGACAACATCTCAGAGGGCTTTCTCTAAAAAGACAAAAACAAACAAACAAAAAACCCTCAACTTTTCTCTGAGGAAGACCTGGGACGTGGCCAAGGGTTTGATTAGAGGCCTCTCCTGCAGTCTGCTGGAACCGTTTTCCCCCACATAAGTTCTAGGAACTAGGAGGGAGGGAGGGATGGCTCCATTCGTCCCCCATCTGTTTTACTATTTGCAGACTTTGGTGTAAAATGTGGCTTCTGTTGTTTTGGGACTATGACACCATCCTCTTGCCAGAAAATAAATAAATAAGGAGTTTGTTTCTAAAAGGTTCTTAGAAACTGACCCTGCACATCTGCTGCCCCATGTGCTGGAAGGTCCTCGCTTGGCATCATGAATCACCTGGATGTTCCCAGACTGCTGGGGCCCAGAGGAACCCCTGCACAGGCTAAGCTTCTGGAGAGCCCTGAGTCTCCCCCATCCTGGGCCCAGCAAACTGAAAGCCCCAGAGCTTTCCAGGACGCTTCCCAGCAACTCCCTTCCAGATGAGCAGGAGAGAGTTGAGGGTTCTTCTCTCTCCTGCCAAGTATGACAGCTTTCCAGGATTCTGGGCCACTGGGAAGAATTTGTGGGGAAAGGATGTCATTGGGTCATTGGGCCAAAAGGCAGCTCTCAACTGCCACACCAGAGAAAAGTGCAGGCTGAGAGGCCACTGGCTGAACTCACGTTGGGCAGGGGATAGCTACTGCTGGGAACTGGGACACGGCTGGCTCGAGGAACCACCCCGGCAGCGACAGGGCTGCTTAGGGATCTAAACTCTCTGAAAGTGGAGGAAAGGTGCAGTTGCTGAAAGAAAGCCCATCAGCTATCCGCTGCTGAGTGGAAAGTGTTCACTGGCTCTGGTCTGCTCAGGGGAAAGCGCAAAGGGTAATGTCGAGGAAGCTGGAAAGAAAGCAGAAGTTGCCCGTGTGTTACTCTCCCAGCAAGGGAGTCGGCCACCAGTCCATCCAAGGGCCTGTGAGGTCTGAAGCCAGGGTGCGGGCAGCGGGCACAAATGTTGAGATGCGCATGCGTATGCCCAGATGTGTGCGATACGAGCCAAATCCAAAGCCTTGGCAAATGGGGAGCCTAAGCTGGCCCCACGCCGGGGCTGGGTGTTTTGCTCAGCAGCCATGTAACAGATGGGGAGTCAGGTCAACAGCTACCCCACAGCCTCTGGCCTCCGCTGGTTGCCCGCAGCCACTCTGCAGTGTATGTAGGTCCACCCGATGGACAGCGCGAAGGGGCGGGGAAAGGGGAGGGGGATACCCCGCTGACCACGAAAGCCACCCCCTCCACCACGCCTGAGGGGGCGTGGCTTCACCAGTCGAAGGCTAGAAAAAGCAGAGCAGCCCGAACACTGCATTTGCCTCCCCTCTGAGCACAGCCACGCCACCCCCCAGGGACGTTGGTGAAGAGCTGTCCCACTCTAGGAACAGCCCAGCATCTCGGAGCTCTCAGCAGGTCTGTCTGCCCACCTTCCCGCCTCTCCTGCTCCTCCCACCTCATCCCACTCCCCACCCCAGGCAGCAGGTGAAAGAAAACAAGCTCCCCGGCTCTTACCTGGTTGTGCCGCATTCTGCTCTCTCCCCTGGAAAGAAAAGTATACGTTGAGGTTTAGTTGTTGTTGTTTTAACTCGAGAACATTCATCTTTTTCTAAAAACAAAAAAAAAATGTGAAATGGGACATCTAATTATGCCTAAGGTATGGTCTGTTGGAAAGAACTGAGTCTTATTAAATCCCCAGGGCCTCCCATACATTTCATTTTATATTGTCCACATATATTTTTTCCAATGATTCTCAAACTACAGCCTGCTGACCACTTGCATCAGAATCATCCGGGGCTCTTGTTAAAAATGCAGATTCCTTGGCTCTTCCGTGGTCCTCCTGAATCAGAATCTCTGAGCTAAGAACCCAGGAACCTGCATCTGCACAAGCACCCCAGGCGATCCCTTCTGTGCAGAGCAAAGCTTAAGGACTCGTGCACTGCTGTACCTCAACCAAGGTTTACTGAGCACCTGTCATAGGCCCCGCCCTGAGGGGCACCAGACATAAGACAGCTTCTTCTAGTTCCTCAACCCTGCTAGCCTTTTATCCCCATGCCTTTATTCTTGGCTGAAGACCTTCTCACTTCCTTCCCTGGAAAAGAAAATCAGTAAAACAGGTCTCAGAGTGTCTCCATGAGACCCACCCACCTACCTGCACCTGCTCCCGCCCCCTCTCCCCCCACAGGGTGCTCTGGAGGAAGCATCCTACTTCTGCCAAAGCCCAGAGCTTTGAATGTGCTCTGGTCCCACTTCCTCCGCCCTTCTCGAGGGCTCTGTTTCTGCCTGTGCCTCCCATGTCTCTCATATCTTCAATCTCCTCCCTTCTGGGTCATTCTCATCAGCATATCAACATGTTCTGGATACGTATACCCTAGCTTTTAAATCTCCCCATGACCCCATTTCTCTAACTACATCCTCATTTCTCAGCTCTCCTTTACAGCGAAATTTCCTGAAGGAGCTGTCTAAAAGCACTGTTGCTTCCTCCTCTCTGATTCGCCCCTCACTCCATGGCAGTTGGCCCCTGTGCTCACCACTCCACGGAGACCGTTCTGTGTGGCTGAACCCAATGTCTTCTCTGCTCTTATCTGACTTCTCAGCATCATCAACTCGGGTAATTACTCCCTTCTTCTTATAAAGCTTTCTCCTCTTGATTGGCATAATTCCACATTTTCCAGGTATCCTTCCTGTCCTACTGGTCATTCCTCAGTTTCTCTTGCTGTCTGATCCTCATCTCCCCATCCTCTAACCTCTAAATGTTGGCATGCCCCCAGGATGCCTACCCAGATCTTCTTCTCTTCTCTTTCTACACACTCTCTCTAGGTGATCTCAGATGCTTACTGAGGGCTCCCTAATCTTATCTCCAGATGGTACCTTTCCCTGGAATTCCAGACTCAAATCACTGCCCTCTTTTATTTTTAACAGCTTTATTGAGGTATAATTTACATAGCATAAAATCCACCCATTTGTAGTTTATTTTTAGTAAATATTCAAAATTCTGCAACCGTCACCACAGTTCAACTTTAGAACATTGCCATCACACAAGAAAGACCCCTTGTGCCAATTGACAGTCACTCCCTCTTCTAATCCAACCACTAATCCACTCTGTCTCCATAGAGTTGCTGATTCTGGACATTTCATAAAAATGGAATCATGCGATATGTGGTCTTTTGCATTTTGGCTGCTTTCACTTGGTATAATGCTCTTGAGGTTTATCCATAGAGCCTGACTCAGTACTTCATTCCTTTTATGGTGCCGTGAGAGCCTCCAGGCCAGTGCTCTCCAATAGGAAGTATAATGCAAGCCACAATTCCTAGTAGCCACATTACAAAAAGTAAAGAGAAACAGTGGAGATTAATTTCAATAATGTATTTAACCTAAAATATCAAAAATATTAGCATTTCAATATGTATCAATATAAAAAGTTAAGATGTTTTTATATATGGATACATCTATTTATTATATATGGATATATATTTATATATGTGTAAATATATATATTTATATACATATTGTACTAACTCTGAAATCTGGTGTTCATTTTACACATCTCAGATCAGACTGGCCATGTTTCAAGTGTTCAATACCCACATGTGGCTCATGGCCACCACACTGGACAGCATAGCTCTCAACTCCAGAATCTCATCCAGTATCACGTGCAGCAACTCTTTAAAAGAAAGAACCGAGCATTTATTTTCTCTACAGAAAACAATGCTGGATGGGGCTGGGGAGAGAAATGGGGGGAGGAAGAGAGTCACAGAGGTCTGAAAATAGAACTTGGGGTGAATCAACATACAATTCCATAATTCCTAACCAAAGCCACAAGCAGTTACAAAAGTGACTGCAGTTTGTTGAATTGCAGCCAAAGACCAAAGCAGGAAAAGAGAAAATTTAGGTAAAACAGACAAATTTGTTCTGCTTAATTTGATTGCGTGTATGGGCTCTGGGGCAAAATCCTATCAGACATGAGTTTGAGTTAAATTTTCATGTAGACCCAAGACCCCAAGTCGGAGCTGGTGGCAGCCCGTGACAGGGGTAAGCCAATGGCCTGCGTTGACTATAAAAGATATGGTTTCGTTGGGGCTGCAGTCAACTGTGCAACCCTGACTTACAAAGGGGACCTGCTCCGCCGCCTCCTGGTTCCACAATTGCCCACTCCTCCATGTGCTCACTACGGCCTAGTCACACTGCCCTTCCTTAATGCTAACTCCCACATCCCTCTCACCTTTGCATGTGCTACCCCCTCTGCCCCTGACAGCCTTCCCCAGTTTTTCACGTAGCTGGGGCCTTCTCATCCTTCAGTCTCAGCTTAAACATCACTTCCCCTCTGAGGCCTCTCTGATCACCCAGCCTAAAGCAGGTCCCCCCTCACACCCCTATGTGCACAGTTGTTCTCTGTCTGAGCCCAGCTTTCCCATCCACGCCACTTATCACAGTTCTAATTCTTTACTTGATAGTTTGTTTACTGTTTGAGGTCTCTCTTCCCCATGAGGGCAGGAACTTTTTCTCTCTTGTATACACTGTACCCCCAGTCCTGGCTCAGCACAGCACCTGGGCTTCTAGATAGACAGATGGACAGATGAACGGATAGCCAGGCGCAGGGAGGGAAGAAGCGGGAGGTAGGAATGAAAGGGTTTAGGTCCTGGAGTGGAACGTCAGAACACACTCCGAGCAGACTTGCCTCCGGCAAAGCATCTCATAGATTCTCCTTCAGCTTTAGACTCACATTCCAGCCCTCAAGAAGCCCATTACCCACATCTTTTGGAATAAATTGTCTCAAATTCTAACAAACAGCAGAAATAAAAAATGCTCTGCCCTTTACCTTCTGAGATCTGTTTGGATTTAAAAAAAATATATTTTATAGTTGGTGGCTCATTTTCTAGAAGGTCAGACTGTCTGGTCCTGGTGGACGTTTTGCTCTGTAATGGGCTATTAAATCTTGGCCTGAAAAGGTTATGTCCCATCCCTTTTACAGACAATGCACTATTCATCCTTGAGGGGCCAGAGTAAATTGAAAAGCCACTCGTATCCTGGGTGTAAACCCCGGAGCTCACAGACTACCCACAGCAATAAAAAGGTCAGAGAGCTAAGACTGAGAGATGATGATAAACTGAGAATCCTCTGGCCAATTAAACGACATAGCGACAGCCAAGGGCGTATACGGCTGTGAGCTCTTGTTCCCAAGATGCGGCAGTGACATTTCTAACTAGGAATGCCAATTTGCAGGGTACCTGGGAGCTTTCTGACTTGTGTGTCTGGGGTCAGTCATGTTCAAAAATTTGCTTCTAAGAAAAAGTGACCCAAAAGATTCCACGCTTCCTCTAACCTGTGGTTTCTTTGAGCCATGCTGTCAAAAGAGTACTTGAGGGAAACTGAGGCACATGATACTTCATTTCATTAAAAAAAAAAAAGAATCCAGTCAAAATATTCTGCCCGGCCCCATATTTCTCACCTGTTTTCAAGATTTCCAGATTGTCCCTCTCAATACAACAGAGCCCTGAGACAACATGACAGGCCATGGATGCGGGTGTGACTACCCTAGCCCCACTCTTAGGGTAGCTCTACTGACTGGAAGGGTCCATATGTGCAGGTAGGTGAACCATCTGTTGACACCAGAAGAATGAATTAGCCAAGATTCTGAGCTGTCTTTGGCTTGCTCAAGTTTCTCATGCCCCCCTTTACCCAACAGGCAAGAACTTTATCACCCAGGAGAACCAATTCTCCCAATGCGCTAGAATCCACATACACCTAGCATGCCATGGGGATACAAAAATGACTGAAGATTTAGTCTCAGCTTCAGTTTTTTCAGTAATTTTTAACTTTAGCGAATAATCATGTATCGATATTCATTAATAGTGACAAATATACCATACACATGTAAGATGAAGATATTAAAAATAGGGGAAATTGGATGTGGAGTATGTGGGAACTCTGTACTATCTTTGTAAATTTTCTGTAAATCTAAAACTATTCTAAAACAACGAGTTTATTAAAAAACAAAGTAAAACAAAGACACGAGAAGAAAACCTTCCCAGAAATGACTAGTCTAACAAGACCCATCCTGGTTATGAAAGAAGCCCGTGGCTTTTCCACTGCTGGCTTCCTAGAAAGCAGGACGATGGAGAGTCTTCCAGATGACTCTTTCTTAGCCGCCCTTGTATGTCTGAAGCTGCATTTTCCTGCAGTTTTTTGTTGCTGTTCAGCTCAAAACTTAGAAGAAGGACTGGTAAACCACATCTCAGAGCAAGGTGTAGCTGAAGGCTAAAGGAACTTGGAAGACCAAATGGGTCAGGACTTACGCCAACCAAAACTAATTATTAGTATTATTTCATTAAGGCCATTCACACAAGGGCAGTAATAAAAGGTTGCATCTGACAGCCCTCATGGGGGAGCTGAAGAGAAGCACTTTCTCATCCAGGATCTTATTTTTTAAAAGAACATCTAGTTTTCTAAATCCAGGGCATCTGATTTTGAAAATACAAGTAGCCACCAACTCACAGGGACTCGCTTTCTGTGACACAGCTCATGAGAAACAGCCCCAGCCCCCACTCCCCTGACCGTAAAAATGGATCCTCCTCTTTAATGCTAGCTGTGGAAGCTGCCTCCATTATACACTCACGCAAGCTCCTCTTTAGAACTTTCTGGCTCTTCCTTTTCTCTCCATTCTTGCTGTTTTGGTTCCCTCTGTTACCCACACTCCTGCCCCACTCACCTGGCCCAGTACCAAAATGTCAGGATGAGTAGAATTTGGATGGCAGGGAGGGGAATGAAGAAAAAGCTCCTTGCAACTCACTCTTCCCCACCCTTACACCCTAGTCAGTGAGTTTGGACAAATGTATACACCTACGTATAAACACCCCCCAAATCAGGACATAGAGCCTTTCCATCAACCCCAAAGTTCCCCAGCTCTCACCGGCTGGAACACAAAAAACTCAACTATGGTGACAGAAGTCAGATCAGTGGTTGCTTGGGGTAGAGATGGGGGGACTGACTGCAAAGGAGCACAAGGGAACTGTGGGGGTGGCGGGGATGTTCTGTATCTTCATTTGAGTGGTGCTGGTTATACCCGTGTGTATATGTTTGTCAAAAGGGATTCTACACATAAAATGGGTGTGCTTTATTATATATACAGTATATGTCAATAAAGTCGATTGAAAAAGTTCCCTCGGTATTAGCCTTAAAGCCCTGGTTATTCCTCCTGCTTGAAAACCTTCCCAGCGCTCCTGGGCCCATGCTGATCCCTTCCTCTCCTGATTCACAGCCCTCCGAGTCTGTGCTGTTCACCTGGCAATTCACCCAGTATTTCTATGTGACAGTGTTATCGCTATTTAATTTTTCATGAATTCATGAGTTGTCTCCCAGCTACACTACAAGTGCCTCGGGCTGGGAAATGGTTTAATTTCTCACCGTTTCCTCTAAAGCATGGGGCTCACAAATGCCAAGCACCTGCAGATCCCAGCAGCCTCCTTGATGGCCGCCGAGAGGACGGTATCAGGGAGGACTCGTGTGGCCAGAGCACAGCCACTGGACAGTGCACCCACAGGGAGAAGACAGTGATCCAGAGAGGGGCAAGGACGTGCTGTGGACGACAAACCCTCGCCGGCCAACGAGCGCCAGCCCCCAGCACAGCTCTCGTCCTGTCAAGCTCCTCCTTCCCCAAAAACTCCTGGGTGATCCCAGGCCTGCTTCCATCTGTCATCTCGGGATCTACCGGCATCATCACCTTAGAAATTCCCTTCATCTCTCTCATGTTGGCCCCTATTTCCTGGATCCTGGGTCCTTTTCCTTTCAGTGGAGCACATCCTTCAGCCAACAGCCCTTTCCAAACAGAACAGAAGAATGTATCTGGATGTGCGGCTCATGATACTCCAAGCAGGGTCCAGCAGCTTCAGAAACCCCAGCTCAGCTCCTCCCCTCACAGCCGAGCCTCACACCAGGACTTGCTGCAAACCATCCGTGCCCTTGGGGCTGAGTTCACGCCCTGGTGACCTTTCCATTCAACATTCATTCAGTCACTATTAACTGAGTGCCTACTCTGAGCCAGGCACTGTACTAGGCATGGGAGATAAAGTGGTAGGTAAAATAAGCCAGGAAGTCCCCACTCAGGTTGAAGATATGATACTGCTGGGGGTGGGAGCATGACCAAAGACAATAAGCAAATGAACTGGATAAAACAGGATGATTTCACATGATGATGAGCGAAAGGAAGAAAACCAAACAGAAAGTGTTTTGGAACAGAGGTGGTGATTCCATGAGGTTGGGTGGCAAGGAGAGGCTGGTGGAGAAAGTGATATCTGTGCTGACAGCTGAAGGATAAGGAGCCATCCATACAGAGATCTAGGGTAAGAGCATTCCAGGCAGAGGGAACAGCAGATGCAAAGGCCCTGGGGCAGGAATAAGCTCCGTGAATTTTGAAGGGCAGAAAGTAGCTCAGTGTGGCTGGAGCACAGTAAGGGAGTGGAGAATGGTATGAGGTCAGGGAAGCAGGCGGAGGTCAAATGACATAAGGCCTTGTGTGTCATAAGAGCAATTGGGATTTTATTCCAACCATCGCTGGAAGTCTTTGGGTAGATTTAAGCCTAGCCCCCAGGTCCTCAAGGACCAAACCCTGCCTTACACATCTGGATTTTTCTTTTTTGGACCTAGAATCCTAGCCAGGCACTCCGATAGTATTCCTGGTAAGTAGATCTGCTGAGAAGCATCAGTGTGGACCCCTGTGTTCCTGAATTCCCACCCCCTACCTATTGTGGACCCTTCTATCACTTTGCCTTGGACCCTCCCCACAACCTAAACTAAGATGTGTGTTTGCCCCGTATTTTCTGCAGCCAGACTGGACCCTCTCAGCATCTGAACCAGGGCTGTAGACGATAGACTGTACCAGCCCGCCCCGTCCTGGAGGGCAGCTCTGGTACCAGGCCTGGTTCTGCCAAGTGCCCGATGTCTCAAGCTGAAACAGCTCAAGGGGCCACAACAAAACCCAGCGAGGGAGGCAGCCCCTCGTCACAGGCCTGCGCCACCCGACTCACCTTCACCCAGGGTCTGCTTGAGCAAGTCGTGCTTGGCCTGCAGCTTAGTGATGAGGTTACTGCCGTTCACATATTCTTTAAATTTCTGTAAGACACAGGCACAAGGACATTACAGACTGCAGGCCTGAATCCTCCCGTCTCTGCCTCTGGAACGGCCCGCCAGGGCAAGGAGGTCAACAGGAGACGGCGCCTCCCTCCTGGACCTGGCATGGGGCAGAGGGGGGCCTCTGTGCTTCTCCCTCAGGCCCCCGGCTCTGCCGAGCCCAGCTGTCGGGTCCTCTGAGCGCTCCAGGCATTTCGGGTCGGTTTTGGGAACACAAAGGAAGCTCAGGGGAGCAGCGAAGGGCGCTTCTGCCGGGTGAGGATGGCGGGAGCTCCCAGGGGAGGGCTTCTTTGGTTTTCAAAGCTCCTCTCTGGGCTTCAGGGCCGACAGCAATAACGATGGGAACCGCCCCGGGGGGCACGCAGAGCGCTTTATCCCATCAGTCAGAGAGGAGCCTTGGAACAAGTCTGTCTTTCATCTGGCCCAGCTCTTAAGGAGTATGGGCTGTGCAGGCCCCTAGAGACGGTCTGATTAAAATAACCTGAACTGCACTGGGGGATATGATTTTCTTCTTTTTACAGAAGAGACAGGTGAGGCTGGCAGAGGGAAGCGACTTTCCCAAGGTCCCCAGGCTGCCTCTAGTTCAGGGGTCCAGACAAGCACAATGCACTTCGGAGGAGCATCGAGGGGGCCATCCAGAAGAGGTGGCAGCTACCTCCCCCAGTTCAGCCGGGCCTCAGCCACACCTCTGCACAGGTGCCAGCTTCCCTCACCGGCCACCCACCCAGCATCACCGAAACACAAGCCCAGAGCGCGGCCTGCCTTGGCTGGACTTGAGCGGCCCTAGGTGCCAGCCATGCCCAGTTCATGGCTGGATCCCCAGTGCCTGCAGCTGTGCTTGGTATATAGTCAGCACTGAGAAATTTAGCTGACTCCCTGACCTGGTGGGGCGGATGTGGCAGAGTAGGGAGAGAGACAAGAAGCTAACGATAAAAGTCAGTAACATACACAATTGGTCAGATGGTGGTGAATGCTACGGATGAAAATAAGGCAGGGACGGGGGCCTAGGCGTCAGGGTGGACCTCGTGGCAAAGCTGACATTTGAGCCAAGGCCTGAAGTCGGTGAGGAAGGGCCGTGTGGGCACCCGGGGAAGGAGTGCTCTAAGCAGTTGGAATGGCAATTGCAACAGCCCTGCGAATGAAGGCACGGGGATGGGTGATGGCCCCAAATCTGCCAGCCACGTTCTCAGGAGAAACCCATTCTATCACCCCAGCCAGAATGCTCAGAAAGGGGTGCAGAGGAGCCACGAAGTGAGCTACAGAGGCTCAGGACACCCCAATAAGACCTGTAAAGGAGCGTCTGGAACATCAGCATCTCCCAGTTGAAGACGGGTATAGGGTGTAGGGTGCAGGGCCATGGGGTGGAGCAGTGACGTGTGCACAGATAAGACTGGGGTCCTTCACCCTGGCCCCACCTCGGAGGGCTCTGGAATGGCTGAGCCAGTGGGAGGGTGTGGTGTCCCCTCTCCTTGGCCATGGTCCTTAAGCTCCTAGGACCTTGTCCCTGGGTTGTTAAGCATCACTCTCTCTTGTATCTGTAGAGAACTCGACAATTTTCAAACATGCATTTTGTCCTCACCACAATCTCGGACAGCAAATGGGGGAAGCATTGTCACTCCCGTGCTCCCCATAAGGAGACAGAAGCTGGGAGCTGCGGCCACTCAGTGAGTGGCAGGTGACTGAACATTTCAGGGCCTCTCTGCCCCCTCGGGGTGAAATGACTTGGTGTTTCTCCAGGTGTGGCCTCCTACCCAGCCGGGGAGAGGGTCACAAGGCAGCTTCCTGCTCGGCAATACTGCGAGCCCGACCCCTTATTTTCATCTGAGGGCACCGCAGAGGCCAGCAGTGTTCCCATTTCTGGGGCCCACCTCGCAAGCGTGGTAGTCTGGGAACCCATGTGTCTAACCAGCTTCCCACACGATTCAAATGCACACTTCAGTTTGATACCTACTCACCTAGAGTCTCTCTCTGGATGCTTCCAGTAATAACACCCCCTGATTTTATCACATGTTTAAGAACTCATCACAACAAGCAGAGCTGAGGAATAAGGAGGTATTTTCTCCACGTGCCTCGCTGCCCCAGTAGCTGAAGCTCTGATCCGAAACACGGAACTCACGCCTTGGTGGGTTGTTCACTGGTCAGTGTGAAGTACACCCCAGGCTCTGGGGCCCATGGACCCTGCCCAATTCTTCCAAGCTTCACCCAGGCGTCACATGAGACCCATGAAGGGGAGAATGCCATCAAATGGTACGGATACAGTAAAAGGAATATTATGCCCTTAAAAATACCTAAAATAATGTCACAACACAAGTCATGAGGTGTACTAGCCAACCAGGTTGATAAATTGAATATTAAGATTAAAATATAACATCTATGAACCTTAATCATGGATGTTGCTGAATTCTGTCTTTTTTTTTAAATGTGTGTGTGTGTGTGTGTGTGTGTGTGTATGGGGTTTTTTTTTTTTTTTTTTTTGGCGAGGAAGATTGTCCCTGAGCTAACATCTGTGCCAATCTTCCTCTATTTTGTATGTGGGATGCTGTCACAGCATGGCTTGATGACTGGTGTGTAGGTCCACGCCCAAGATCCAAACCCACAAACCCCAGGCCACCGAAGCAGATCACACAAACTTAACCACTATGCCACCAGGCCGGTCCTGTGAATTCTGTCTTTTACTTTCAAGCAGACTGGACCCCTTCTCTGCTTCTGCCACCCAGATTTCTTTGCTTCTGCTGCCAAAGTGGATGAATACTCATGTGCACTCCTCACTTATCTTTGTAAGCCACAAATTTTCTTTGCAAAGACAGCAGGTCCCCAGTAGAAGTGGGGAACCCCAGAAATCGGCATAGGCTGATTTGCTAAGCTAGCTTTGTCTTCTTTCTTGAAAACAACAAAGTCAAAGACTGTTGATGAAGGAAATGCAGTATGTGTCAACTATTGGTTTTCGAGAAAGGATGTGACAAGGCCTCTCACAGGATGGAGCTGGATGTTAGAACTGGGTGGGCCTGTGACTGGTTGAATGACCACAGTCTGAAATGCTGATTCGTGGATCAGCATCAGTCTAGAGGCATGTTTTGAACAACTCTGTCTTTGGCCTTGGCCCTGCCATACCCATTAGTTTTTTTATTGACAAGCTTTAAGGTACAGAAGCCATGCTCAGTGAATCTGCAGACGCCACAAGGTCTGAAGAGACAGCATATACATTGAACAACTGGATTAGGATCTTGACAGGCTGGAGCCACGAACTGAATCTATCAAGAGCAAATCTAACTGGCGATAAATAAGAACTACCTAAGACATCACCTATACATCCTTCAGGAGGAGGGTGGCCTGGTTTAATGGCAGTACATAGGGAACATAGATTTAACTTAGCTCAAATATTAACTTACTTTAAAAAAAAATGAGCATGATCTTAGGACATATGAAAAGGAGCATACAACCTACTGTAGAAGGAGGTGAAAGTTTAGCTCTCTTCTGTGCTAGTTAGACCACTGAGGGGGTCTCACTTTAGAAGAGGCCTCGACAGACGGAACATGTTCGGGAGAGAATCCCTAGGACGCTGAGGCAACTCAAAATGAAAGCTTAGGAGGCAGGATTGAAAGAATCAGATACGTGTAGCCTGGAGAAATGAAAATGCAGCTCCCTGCAACCACAGCAAAGACTGTCATGTAGAATCAGCGTCTCTCTGGGTCGCCCCAGAGAACAGAATCAAGATCAGTGACCGGAAAGCCTAGCGAGGCAGATTTTTGAAGATAACACAGATAAGGGAAAAGGCTCTAAGATCGCTAGCCAGTGTCAAGCCAAACAAAAGGGCTGTTTGCGGGAGGAGAGGAAGCTTTCAATCCTGGGGTGCGTCCAGCAGAGTCAGAAGAATTTTTGGCAGGGCTATGGTTGAATGGGATCAAGCATCAGATAGAAGATGGAAGGTCCCTTATAACCCTAAAATTCTCCGTTCCCTGACCACGTGTTGAACTGAAGCCCCACGCTCATCCTCGTTCCTCCCCGCCCCTGGCCGAGTGGGATGGAAGTGATCTGGGGTTTGACGGAAGGGTGGCAACTCACCAGCCACCTGCAGGGCTCACCCGGGGTGCGATTTCCAAAGCCCACACCCAAATTTAAGACAATTCAACAGGACAACCACACACATGGCCTCAGGGTCGTTCCGGGGCTTGCCCGGGCTCTGTGAGCCATGTTCCTCTCACCCTACTGGAGACAGCTCTCTCTCTGGCTTTTTTCTAGAGCAGGAGAGCTGCAAAACCATCAACCCCGGGTGAATGCCGATGCTACCCACTGCTAAGTCACTTTCTGCATTTCACAAAGCCAAGCCAGGCAGCTCAACTTGAGAAGCATGTTGGAAGAATTGTAGGTCTAACTCACCCACGTGGTTTAGCTGGTTCCTACAAGCTTGAGCTGCTCCCCGAAAGTCACAGACAGACCCTGGGTTCTGGGTGCAGGAGGCCACTTACTGTAAAATAAAACATTTCTGTTTCCTGCTGGTTGGCTCTCCTTTTGGCAATGTTGATCTTGCTCATGTAAGTCTCAGAGGCGGCCGACTTGACGGACTCTGTGGATCGACTGTGTTGGAAGGCGTCGGAGACGTCAAAGTCCTCCACGGTCAGCATGTCCTGTAAGGTCTGCATGGTGGCATCCAGGGTTTTTCTAACCTAGGGAAACACAGCATGTCAACAAAAACCCTTCAGCCGCAGAATGCCTGTGACACCTCCAAGCCATCTTCCCAGCCACTACTTTGTTTCTTCCATATAAACCAAGCCCCTAGGAGGCAGGTAGGACAAAGGTGATCATTCCCATTATATTGATTTGCAAAGTAAGGCCAAGTAGCTGGCTGGGGTGAGAACCCAGGTTGCCCAATATAAAGTCCTTTTATTGGATTGCTTCCGCCAGAGAGAACCTTGGAAAATGTTGTGATGAGGAAGGAACTCGAGTTTCTAGCTTGTTTCTCTTTACCCGGTTATATAGCCCCAAGCTAGCTCCCCCAAAGGGAGGCAGGTCCCTTGAGGAGGGTCAACACAAGAAATACTCTCCGTTCGCTTCATCCAGAGAAGGGAAGGGACAAAGTCTGGGTAAGGTGTGTGGCCATCCTCCATGAATGAATGCTCCAGCTATTTGCCACCTGAGTCCTATCCAAAGGCTCACCGAGAAAAGAAAACCTTGAGGAAGACAGATGCTGAGACACACGCGGTCTAGTCAGTCCTCCAGGACACCAGTGTCTCTCCTGGGGTCAAGTGGGACCCCCGGGAGGCCGCACATGCAGAGCCTGACCTCACAACACCCCTCACTGAACGGTGCCCAAATGGCGGACCCTATCCTTGGATGGAGGCTCATTCCGAAAATGGCCCAGGAGAAACTCATCTACATTCGTTGTTAAATGATTGTCAGTCAAAGTCGCTTTCTTGTCACTCAGATCTCAACTCAGATGTTACCTCCTGGGGGCATTAGCCCCCACCCCCCACATACCATTCTCAACCCAGTGCCTATCACTGTCTGATATTTGCATACTCATTCACTTATTGGTTGACCTGTTGCTGTGTTTTAACTATTCTCTGCCTTCTCTCACCAGAACATCAACTCCGTGAGAGGTGGTCCTGTGTCGTCTTGTTCACTCACATCAGTCTGCGGCGAGCACAGTGGTTAGTGCACCGTGCGTGCTTAATAAATACCTAAATAAATGGTACTGGAATAAACACTCGTTGAGTGAATCAGTTCTTCTTTCTAGCATAGCCCGACAGGAAGTTCAGGTTCAACATTAAGCATTCCCATGGCCCTGAGCAGCCTATACGGAGGGACACTTGCTTCATTCTCCTTCCTGTGGCCCTGATTTCTAATTTAAATTCCATTAACATTATTACCCATATACTGCTCCATGTAAACAATTTAAAACACTTCAGGGGAAGATGTAGGGCATAAATAAAGAAAGAAAACACTCTGTTCATCTCCTCTCTCTTCTCAGGTTTGAAAAGCAATTATATAATTTGTCTCCACATAACCTCTCCCCAGGGCCTGCTTTGACTCGTTCCCATCCTGTGCTACAGTCTGCCTCACGTTCATCCCAGCTCTGTCCTTTGTGGCAACACAAAGCACAGCTGCCCTCTCTGCCCAGGACAGCCCTCCTGAGAGGTGAAGACAGGGTCCATGACTCTCCATCTCCTGCCATGACCGCCCTTCTCAAGGATACACCTGCTCATGATCTCAAATGCCACTCCCACATCCTGGTGTCCTCCAGTTGGTGGACACCCTCCCTGCATGGAAGCATCCAGATTGGAAGAGGATGTTTCGTGTCTGGCCTCGTCAGTCCACGTCAGAATGGAACCACCACGGCTGCTATCTCCGTTGGAACCCTCCCAGTGGTAACCTGTGTCACCAGCTGATGGGAGGTGTGCTGGCCATGGTAAGACAGAAGATATTTGGAGCTCAGAATCCATGACACATTTAGTGTGCTCTGGGTTTCTTTCATTGTGTAATTTTAAATACTTACTATTATTTCTGATGATAAAAATAACATAAACTCATTGCAGAAAGAAAAGCACAAAGGAAAAAACCCAGAAACCATCTAAAATCCCACAACCCAGATATAACCACAATTAACATTTCCAGGTATTTCCTTCCAGTCTTTTTTCTATGCCTGTGAATACACACAGATACACAAGCACATGTTTACCCTGGTTAGGATAATACTGAACACAGAGCTCTAGTTCCTCTCTGTTTTTCTTTAATGCCTTGTGAGCATTCCCCCACGCCATTAAAGCTTCTCGGTGTGCGTGGTTTTCATGGTTGTGTAATATTCCATCTTACAGATGAGCCCTCATTTCTTATGCGTTCCAGGGCAAGCGTCAACTTCCCAGGATAAGCCAGGCCCTTGTAAGGAAATCCTCCCAGGCAGAGGGCTCACTCACCTCCTCATTCTCTATCTTGAGAGTGGCCAGTCTGGACTGCAGCTGGTGGTACCGCATGAGCAGTTCCGTCTGGACGGGCTGCTGAGCACTGACCTGGCACACCTGCAGAGACAACAGCCACCACCTGTGGTTGCCCAGGGCCCTTGTCACCTGTGTGCAGCTAGGGCAGGAGCTCTCATTAACATCCCTACCAACAGTTGAGGAAGCAGGCTGGGAAAGGTTAAGTGAGCTGCCCAAGGCCTCACGGCTTATACCTGGCAATGCCAGGTGGAACCAGGGGCCACCCTCTCGCGTTGCAAGGTGTAGCCTCTCAGTTGTGGTCTTCTACGTTTGCACAGCACTTGAGGGTTTTCTAAGAGATCTCACATCATCTCATTAAGTGAGACTAGTTAGTTTCCGGGCAGGAAGTTGTGGTAAGAAAGCAACCACCTAAGAGAAGCCAATGAAAAGAACGATGAACGGGAAACAAGCAGCAAGAGCTCCGACTCCGCAGCAGGAAGATGCTGCAGAGGCGGCCTGAGGCGAGTGCTCTCGTGGCCCTGCTTCCCAGGGCTGATTAGGTGAGAGGCGGAGAGAAGACTGTCCTCCCTACGCCCGTTCCAGCCAGGGCTCTGTTCCTACCTGGGGCTGGGTTGCCTGGTGTCGCTCAGCTGAGATCATAAGGCACAGAACGGCTCTGAAATTTACTAGTTGTTTACCACTAGCTAAGCAACCCAAACTTCACAGTTACCAGTGGTAACCACGAACCCAGAATCTTCAGGTCCAGTTGATGGGCCAAAAGGGTTGGACACAAAGGTAAAGGGGTGGGGCGGGAACTGTGGGGAGCCCTGAAGAAGGCCTGTCTCTTGCAAATGAAGAAAGTGGTCAGAGCCATCTGGAAGGTCCAGCAAATGCCGTCTTCTAAGGTGCCTCCTTGCCAACCAGGTACAGCAGACGGCCCAGCTGAGCTCCCACGGGGACCCAGAGGTTGGTGGGGTCTGGTACACTGTTGGTCTGAGTCCCCCCAGCTCCCCTGTGCAGGGGTGGGCTATGTCTAGGCGGAGGGAACCGGGTCACTAGGAGAAAGTTCTGTGCACATATCCCTGGGGGTGCAGATGGCAGAGATGGGGAGGCAGATGTGACGACTACTGGCTGTCCTCGCTTTGGTTCCGGGGACTAGGGCCTGAGCCCTAGAGAGAGGGAGGAATGACATGGAAAAGCTCAAGGAGTTATTTGCGTAAGGGATTTTGTGACACTTGGATAAGCAGTGTGCTGCTGTGGGGCCAGTGACAAGTGCCTTCTGCCATTTTTCCCCCAGACCATAGCAAGGATCTGAGCCGCACAGTGCTGAAGGAAATCAGCCGGCTGGTCTGCCAAGGACTCGCAGCACTGGAGACAGGCCATGCCCTGGCGAGGGAGCTGGTCAGAGTGGCCGTGGGGAGGCTTGGCCCTCCGTGATCTGAGGGCATCGAGGGAAGAATGTCAGACGACTGTTTGGGGTCAGATGGAGGACTCCCTGGGCGTCTTCTAGACACAACTGGGAGAGCTTTGAAGCGGGGGTAAGGGCCTGCAATTCTGCGGGTGGGAGGCCTAAGCAACAAGATCAGCGCACTAGTGGTGAACTCCTCGGCTGGGCAAGCCCATGAACCAAGCGCTTGACCCCAGGCCTCTGAGACACGCATCCTGCGTGTGCAATGGGGCTGACACTCCCCTCCCACCGGCATTCCGGGGGCACGTGGGAGAAGAGGCTGAAGCAGCCTCAGCACGGGCTCCTGGGAGACACCCACCTCATCCCCCATGTGGGGCTGGAACTCGAACTTGAGCGGAGGGCAGAAGACCTGGTTGCACATGTCCATGACGGTGTGCTTGTCGCTTCGGGAATCCAGGTTGTCCACTGCATTCTCGATGACGTCCAGCCCCTCGTGGCGAGAGGTTTCCAGGTTGTACTCGGCGGAGAGGTAGGTCCGAAAGGTGCGGGCCAGGCTGGCGTGGAAGCCCAGGTCACAGCACTTGGAGAGAGGCACAGGACAGAGGGTGAGGGGAGGGCTGTGCCATCGCGGGGGACCACAGCCATTTCCTGCCCCATCACTCTGACTCGTGATCACTTCCCGCTCCACAGTCCAATCTTTCCTCCTGGAGGCCCTTGGGCACTTTTGAATCCTACGGCACAAATCACGCCAGAGCCCTTAGAGGGAGCTGGACGCCGGGATTCGGGCAACAGCAGAGCGTCCCTCGGCTCCCCAACTGCACCACGTCCCTCCTCATCTCTAGGCTTTCCCACACGCACTCCTTCTGCCTGGAAGACTCTTCCTTTCTCTTCCTGCCTAAATTCTCTTCCTTCAGGTTTCAATTTAGAGGTCACTTCCTCCAGGACGTCCTCCTTGATGTTCTCCCCACTCAGAGTTTACAAGAGATGTCCCTCCCCCGGAGTCCGCATCTCCCTCCACCTCCTCACCGTGACACCTGCACTTGACATTGTCATTGCCTGTTAACAGGTCAGGGGTATGCAGACTCCCTGGCTCTTGTCCACCGCAGCACCTCAAGACTGAGCTAGTAGGTGCTCAATAAAAATTTGGCAAATGAAAAAATGAAAGGGCTAGAAAGAGTGGAAAGGAAAGTTGAAAGGTAGGAAAGAGGAGGAGGCTGGCCTAGGAATGGCCCGGGCAGGGCCAAGCAGCTCCCTCTCCCTGGGGAGGTGATAATGGGTCCCCTCTGTTGCTATGGGAACAGCAATGATGCTCTGCCTTCCTGATGGGACGCACCAGGGCCAGAGGAAAAGGATCCACTAGTCTGGGACCTTTACTGAGCATCGACTGGGCCAGATCCCTGTCTGCGTGGGATGGGGAGACACGAGAAACAGTTCCAGCTCCAAGAGATCACACAGACGTCCTCCCCGATGGCACTGCTCACAATGTTCCTTCTCCAAGCCTGGTTTTCCTCCAGTGTGTCCACATGGTTGGTACCCAGGCGTCAGTGTTCCATTCTCCTTTCCCTTAAACTGCCTGATTTCTCCCAAAATAACACCCTGACATAAAGCTGATCTGGGTAATGCTGTCTCATTCACTATTTTCTTTCAGGTGTGTGTGTGTGTGTCTGGCAAACTAGACCTGAGGGCACTGAACATACATATAAACGTCTTTACCACACTGGGCAGTCCCCCACGGCATGAACTGTGCGCCATCACACCCAGCACAGGGCCTGGTGTGAAGGAGGACACCTGGGACATGCACGTTGAACACATGACCTCCTGACCCCACCACACTGGGGCCATCAGAGGCCCAGTCCCACCCACGGAAGCAGAAACCAGGAGGTGAGACTCATCTCCCAGGTCCCCAGGGCTCACTGCCCTTCCCCTCCTTCTGGGCTCAAGGGACATGCCACCCTGGCACATCAGCTAAGGACAAGGGCCAGCCCCTCCTTCAGCAGATGATCTGTGCCAGCTCAGGCGCAGGCCCCATGCTCACGTCAATCAGGTCGGAGACATCGTGGATGTAGTATTTGCTTATGGCTGCGTTGGTGGCCGCCAGGTTCAGCAGGTAGTCGTTCCGGGCTTTCGTGCATTTCAGCTTGTTCTCAGAATACTTTGCCTGCCTCTGGAAGAAGAAAAGGGTAGGTGTAAGAGCTGAGCCGTTGACGGGAGGGATTTGGGGTTTTTTTTCCGGTCACGGCCTGCGATTCACTCTCCCGCACACCTCCGGGACGCCTCACTCCACATGCCAGGCGAGGGAGATGTGGACCCTGTACTCAGAAAGCTCACCTTCCATTGCACGTGTGCAGCCAAGGGCGCTAGTCGATATGCAGCAGCCTCGTCCTGGTCTCTATCAGAGCAGAGTGTAAATAAGGCCTCCTGAGTGCCCTACTCCACACCCCCACAGCTGCCCAGACTGTGACGATGGCCTGTGAAGCCACCTGGCTCCCGTCCACCTCTCGAGCCCCTCTACCTCCATGCTCCCCATCACCACCCAGCCACCTCTGCCTATCCTTTAAGAGGCCAAGTTCATTCCTGCCTCTAGGACTTCAGACTCATTCCCTCCTCCTGGCAGGCCATCCTTCCGAGTCTCTATGTGGCTTGTTCCTTCTTGTCATTCAGGTCCTTACCAAGGTCACATTGTCAGATTGGCCTCTGATGGCAACCTTGTCTAAAATGTGTCCCCAGCACCTCCACTGCTTTCCCCCGCGCCACACTTGCTACCCCCTCACCCTGCCCTATTTTTTTTCATTTATTTAATCCTTATTCAATTTTTAGCTATTATTTTCATTTTTATTTAATTTGTTTGTCTTTATTTTTTTCAGAGCAGTTTTAGGTTCACAGCAAAACGGAGAGAAAGGTACAGAGAGTTCCCATATACCTCCTGCCCCACACACAGCCTCCCCGTTATCAACACCCCCCACCAGAGCGGTATATGTGTTAAAGTGATGAACCTACATTGACACGACATAATCACCCAAGGTCCATAGTTTACCCTAGGGTTCACTCTTGGCGTTGTGCCCTCTATGGGTTTAGACAAATGCGTAATGGCATGCATCCATCCTTATGGTACCAGACAGAGTCATTTCCTCTGTGCTCCGCCCACTCATCCCTCCCTCCCACCTGACCCCTGGCAACACTGCTCTTTCACCATCTCCTTTTTACTGCTCGCCTTTTCCAGAGCAGCCTTTTCAGACCGGCTTCTTTCACTTAGTCATGTGTGTTTATGGTTCCTCCCTGTCTTTTCACAGCCTGACAGCCCACTTCTCTTTGGTGCTGAACAATATTCCATGCTCTGGAGGAACCACAGCTTACCATCCGTTCACCTACTGAAGGACATCTTGGTTGTTCTATTTTTCTTCATAAGCACATATAATCTGAAATTATATTTTTTACCTCTTTGTTTACTTGCTGATTTTTGGTGTCCCCCACTAGACAGTAAGCTCCATGAAGTCAGGGCCCTGGCCTGCCTTGCTCACCACTGGGCCCACAGCACCCTAGAGCCGTCCCTGCACGGCAGGCAGTAAATGACTCCCAGCGGTCCGGATGGGAGTGGGGAGGAGAGGCGGGGTGGGCGCCAGGCTTGCCTCGGGCCCGACTGCCTCCTGGGAAGCTGCTTCTGGTCTGGGCCAGCCTGGGGGGATGGGGTAAAGAGTAAGTGGGCTAGAGAGCTGTCCCCTTGCGCCTGTCAGACTGATGAGTCCCGCTGCTGGGCAAAAGACAGCGCTCCTTAAAGAAACAGGGGTTTCCTCCATCCCCTAGGCTCTCTTAAACCCTCCTGACTCCAGATGCAGTCTCCTCGCCAATTAGGAGAGGTGCTCCTTTGTCAACCTTTTAGTTCTCTTCGGGGATCTCCTATGACCTTTCTCCAAACTCCTTTTATTCTGGAAATTTCCAGAAACAAACTTCTCCTGGCAGTTACCTCCTGTGCCAGCCATGTACCCAACCCCCACAGAGAGTTTTGATAGTCCTGGCCCACTTCCAGGGGGGTACTATGATCCTGAGACCATTTTCAGCCCTTCATGGATTCATAAAATTTTATACCTAGAGAGGACAGTAAAGGTATCTTAGTTTAATTCATCCATTTTATAGGCGAAGAAATGAGAACTGAAGAGGAGCAGTGGCTTGTCTAAGAGTCCAATGGTTAATTTGCAGACAACTCTAAAGTGCAAATCAGTCTCCAGACTCCCCAGCCAGCACGCTCTCCAACCCCGGCGGTACCCGTCAATGCTGTGGATCTGTAATTCCCTGCCTGGTTATCTTATCTGTATTTATTCACTTTTAGAATATTCATAGAGTTGCACAACTATCACCATTATCTAAGTAGAATATTTTCATCACCCCAAAAAGAACCCCTGCACCCATTGGCAGTCACTCTCCACTTTCCATAGAATCCTACAATATGTGGCTTTTTGTGTCTGGCTTCTTTCATTTAACATAATGTTTTCAAAATGCATCCATATTATAGCATGAATCCATTCCTTTTTATGACTGAATAATATTCAATTGCATGGATATACCATATTTTACTCATTTATTTATCAGATGATGGACATATGGGTTGTTTCCACATTTTGGCTTTTATGAATAATGCTGCTATGAACATTCATGAACAAATTTTTGTATGGACGTACGTTTTCACTTCTCCTGAGTAGACAGCTAGGAGTGGAACTGTTGAGTCATGTGGTGACTTAGTCTATGTTTAACATTTTGAGGGACCGACAAACTGTTTTCCAAAGTGGCTGAACCATTTTACATTCCCCCCAGCAGCATACGAGGGTTCCAATTTCTCCACATCCTCACTAACACTTGTTATTGTCTGCCTTTTTTATTTCAGCCATCCTAGTGGGTGTGAAGTGGTATCTCACTGTGGTTTTGATTCGCATTTCCTTAATGACTAATGATGCTGAGCATCTCTTCATGTACTTATTGCTCATTTATATACGTTCTTTAGAGAAATCTCTGTTCAAATCTTTTGCCCATTTTTTAAATTGGGTCTCCGTCTGGTTATTGTGAGGCCTATTTTTCTTTGCCTTCAGAAGTCACCCAGAAATTTTATTTTATTTGCCTCTGGTTACTTTTCCACCATATCCCTGGTCCTGTTGGATTTTGTTCCCAACCAACTGCCTATGATTTTCACAACTGTAGGATCATAGAATCATAGAATTAGACTCATAGAGGCCCAAATAAATGTCTGGTGCAATGTTTGGCACAGAGAAAGAACTCAGGAAATGTTTGCTGATTGCATGGAATGAATGAATGTATGGAATTCAATAAGAAAATCACAATCTTTTAAGAAGAAAGGAACCTTGAAGTAACCTAGTCTAGGATAACAAAAAGGCAGCACTGCACTGCCCCTCTTAACTCCCTGGCCATGGCAGACATCATTAATGGATCACAGCACTGTTTTGGGGGTTTTTTTGCTGAGGAAGATTGGCAAGCTAACATCTGTGCCAAGCTTCCTCTATTTTGTATGTGGGTCACCACCACAGCATGGCTGCCAACAAGTGGTGTAGGTCTGTGTGGGGAACTGAACATGGGCTACCGAAGTGGAGTGCCCTGAACTTAACCACTAGGCACGGGGTGGCTGTCACAGCACTGTTTTAAACTAAAGCCTGGAGGGGGCTCACAATCCTCAACACAGAGCTCTGGGCAGCCACTGCCAATAGATCAGAGCTGACATGAGAGGAAATTTATTTGCCATTGTTGTCAGATTTTAAAACTGAAGTTCAGAGAAGGGTTATAAATGTGACATTTTCAAAACCCAGCCTGCCTCCAAAGCCAGCACCCCTTTCACGATGCCCTACACTGAAGCACTTTTCCAGCACCAAGACACAGGGCTTCTAAATCGCCCACCCTCGGCTCGGCAGTGGCAATTTCAGAACGGGCTCTTCTCTGGGTTCCCAGGTGCTGGCTGGTAGCCCAGTGCTGTTCCTTCCTGTTGGGACACAGTCAGTCCCAAACAGCCCCAAACAGCACCCCCAGCCACCAAATTGACCTCCAGGGCCAGCCCCCACCCCCACTAATGCCTGGTGATTCCAGCCCATTCAAGAATGTGCTCTCTGCACGTGAGTCTCGTCACAGTTCCACTCTCTTGTCAGCTGAGCCCCTCTCCCTGCCTGTTGACCCTGGTGCGAGGCCAGGCCTAACTAGTGCTGGCAGAGGCATGGCCAGCTCTGGCCCCTCCAGGACACTGACCTCCAAGAGAGCAGACGCTGGCAGCCTTAGTCACCCCACACCCCTGGGGGTGCAGAGCGCAGAGGTGGAAGCCGGGGCTGTCACAGAGAGCATGGCCCGCCCCTTCCTGCCCCGCCCCCAAAATCCCTTCACTCGCCTTCTCCTTCATCTTCTCGATCTTCTTCACGGAGCTGCGGCGCTGCGGCCGGTCCTCGTGCCGGAGCAGGTTCATGCTGAGGTCTCCCGATTTGTTGAACTGCTTCTCCTCCTGCTTCTCGGCCTCCTTCAGCTTGCTTTCCGCACTGATGCTCTCCGCGTGGTACATGTGGTAGGTTTTCATGACCTGGGGACACACAGTGTGGGAAATCAGCAGCCCCTGATGGCCCAGCGTGGGCGGCCGCGCGCTCCCAGTTCCGTCCCTGCCCTCTTCGCCCCACACGCTCTGAGCTCCCGCAGTTCCTGACTTGCACAGGCTCTCTGAGGACTGGAAATGATCATGATCATCACAGCAGCTTCATCATCATCATCATCATCATCATCATCATCATCACCACGATCACCACCACCACCGTCATGAAATCCTTACTATGTGCCAGGAATTTAAAGAGGTAATTAAAAAGGGCAACCACAGCCCCCTGGACATTTTGGGGTCTCAGAGGTAATATGGCAAACTTGGCCCTTCCGCAGCTGCCCTTTCTAACCCTGTCGGCAATGACTGTGTGTCCTTCTCCCCTTCCCCCCAGTGTCACGGGGAAAGACCCTGCTCAGGTCTTCATGGGACTTCCATGGGAACATCCTTGTTTCTCACATACAAATCGTTTTCTCAGCTGTTTCCTTAAGTAAAATGGGCTAAAATGGCTCTGTCTCCAAAAGGAGTATTATTGGGTAACCTAATAGATATTCCAGAATATTATATTCTAACCTATAGATATTCGTCTATATTAAGGAAATAAACCCATCCTTGGCTATTAAATGAGTTCCTATAAAGCAAATTGCACTTTGCTACTCTACTTCCATAATAAAAGCTGGATATTCTTATAACAAGGGGGTTTGTTTGTTTTTTTTAAAGGATTGACACCTGGGCTAACAACTGTTGCCAATCTTTTTTTTTTTTTTCCTGCTTTATCTCCCCAACCCCTGCCCCCACACACAGTTGTATATCTTAGTTGCAGGTCCTTCTAGTTGTGGGATGTGGGATGCCACCTCAACGTGGCCTGACGAGTGGTGCCATGTCCGCACTCAGGATCTGAACCCTGGGCCGCCGCAGCAGAGCGCGCAAACTTATCCACTCGGCCAGAGCCAGCCCCACAAGGGGGTTTTTGAGTCAGAAGAAATCCTAGATGTCATCTAATCCAACCGCCAAGTTTTACAAATAGGGAAACTGAGGCCCAGAAGGGCAAAGTGGTTCATCCAAGGTCATACAGTATTATCAGCACAGTCTCCAGACTTTACATCTGTGTGGCCAATCAAGATATAGAATATTTCCATCACACCAAAAAGATCCCTCCTGCTCCTTTGCAGTCCATGCCCAGCCCCTACCCCAACCTCAGGCAATCACTGATTAGCTTTCTATCACTATAGATTGTTTTGTGTGTTCTAGAACTTCATCTACATGGAACCATAGAGTATAAACTCTTTTGGGTCTGCCCTCTTTCACTCATGAAATTCTCCCATATTGTTGCACGTATCCCAAGTTCTTTTTTTATTGCTGGGTAATATTACATTGCATGACTACACCATAATGTGTTTATCTGTTCATATGTTGATAGTTATCTAGGCTGTTTAGGGTTTGGGGCTATTATGAATAAAGCCGCTATGAATGTTCACGTGTAACTCTTTGTGTGGCTATATTATTTCATTTCTCTGAGGTGAATACCTAGGAGTGGAAGGGAGGATCATGGTAAGTGTGTATTTAACCAAATTAGAAATCTGGTCTCTGACTTTTAATCCACCACTTTTTCTATCATATCATACTGTTCCCTTAATTTGTTACCATTTGCTCAGCAGACGTGAATACTTTTGGCAGCCTTAGAGCAAGCTGGCCAGTCCCATACCAACAGTGCCCTGGCTCCTGGTCCCCAACTAGGAGTACACTTTTCCTTTGCAACATCAAATTTAGGATCATCTTTCTATGCTGAGAATCACAAGGAATTTCCGGAATTCATGGCTCCTGAGACATGTTCGTTCTCTTCTCCTGTTGTTGGCATAATTACAGCAGCAATGAAGCAGAGGCTTCCACCCACGGCTGGGACGTGCTCCTGCCTAACCAGCCCCTTCAAGTCAGGGAACTTGGAATGAATTACTGGTCAACATTATAACCTTATTCATTCTCATGTGAAGTAAGTTTATTAGAACAAGGACTTCTTCCATGACTCTTATCATTAAATCACAGCCATGATCTGTTGCTCACAAACTTCCCTTTGCCATAAGCCAGGAGTCAATGGGAGCAACATCTGTTGTAGAGTAAGGTAGGTAAAACGGTGAACTCTGGACCCCAATGTCTGGGCTGAATCCTGAAGCCGCCACTTGCCAGCTGTGTGACCTTGGGCAAGTCACGTAACCTCTCTGACCTCTGCTTCCTCATCTGTGAAACAGGGATAATAACGGCACCTACCCCTTAGGTTTGTTGTGAGGACTAAAGGAGTTAATTTTGGTAGAGCACTGAGAACAATACCTGCCACATAGTAACAGCCATGTAGGCATTAGCTGCTACTATCAGCATCAGCATCAGCATCAGCATCACCATCATCATCATCATCGTCCCTGATTTGGGCGGAGGGTTTAAGAACCTTGAACATACTCCCTTGACTTCAGAAAAATGCTACAAACTCTAGAGAACATTAGCTAATGTGAACATTTTTATTCTATCCTATGTTTTTCCCTTCTTTTATCCTGAAAATATTCTAAAATTTCAAAACAACAAATGGGAAAAAGAATGCAATCCACTTTTCCTCGTGTGTTGGTGGAAAGACCTCTCTTCTGCATTCCACCCGTTTTTGCTCATGTGCGGTTTCCCTAAAGCCTCTAGAAACACCCTTCCTGCTGATTTTGTCCACTCTTTAGGCCAGTTCCACTCACCTTACTTCCAACAAATCACTGGACCAGAACGTGCGCCAGATAACGCATTCTCGACATCTAGTGGCCAAAAAGAATGACTGCAGGCTTAGAGACTACCAAAGCAGTTGCCTATTTTCCATCATGTTCTTTCTGCCATGGCTCCGGGAACATAATGCAGCTGCTAAGAGTTGGGAATGCCTGCTGAATCTGTTTCCAGGGCCCCCTTCCCCATTCTCGAAGCTTTTCCCTATCCCTCTGCATTCATGGACACCACTGGTTTCTTTGCTTCTCCACCATGCTGCTGGTGGTGTTCATCTCTGAACTCCGCATCCTTTCTGGGTTCAATGATTCCTGCTAAATCCATTTTTTCTATTTCAGCTGCTGAGTTCTGCTGATCTCACCACTAATCTGTCGTCCCCGTTGGGTAGTGCAGAGGAAGAGAGAGCATTTCCATTTGCAACTACATCTTCCTGTCCAATCCCCCATGCGTCCATCCAGGTACTCACTCAAGGTCAGCATCCCAGCTAGGCGTTTTCAGCCTCACATTTTCCTTTGCCTAGTTTTCTACTCCTCTTGAACCACAGCGTGTTCTTCCTGCTCTCCAACAAGCCAAATTTCCCACTACAGTCTCTGAACCAAGTTCCAAAAATCCCACGCTTGGAGAGCACAGCCCTGATGACCCTGGGGCCCAACTCTATCTGATCCAATTGGCAATCCCTGATCCCAAGAATAACAGCGAACTTGATCGCCCAGGGTGACTTATGGCAGGCAGCTGCCACAAGAGTTTACCTGGGGACCTCTCTGAAATGAGTCTAACTATCTATACCCCGAATCCTCTAGATGTTTCCTTTATTTAATTACCTGAAACGTGGGCTTCAGCATGAAAGGTCCTTAGCTCAATAGCCTAGAACAGTCTGCTCAGTATTCCAGTCCAGGATGTGTTAAGTAATAATTAAACTTATCTATTACTTCAGAGTTTGCAAACTTTTCTGTTATCCCCAAGGGACATTTCAGTTGATCCTTACCCCCATCCTGGAGGCAGTGTGATCGCAATAACAACAATGCCACTAGCAGCTAGCACTGATTGAGCTCCTGCTACATGCCAGGCCTAGTTCTAAGCACTTTACATCTATTAACTCGTTTATTTCTCACAAAACCCTGTGAAGGAGACACCATTTCATCCCTGCTTTGCCCCTGGTGAAGACCAGACAGAAGGTAGAGAGAAAAGTGCTCAGTAAGTTGCGACTGTCAAGTGACTGGCTGACAGCAGTGTGGGGGCTGGGAAGGGAGCAGAGGCCAAGTCATTGAGACCTAGTGTTCAACTTGGGATCTCTGGAGGGCCCCTCACTGGGCTTAATGCCACATGAGAGTTCATTTGCCAGCCCTCCAGACCCTATCAGGGAGGGGCCCTTGGAAAAAGTCTAGCACAGGCTGAGAAGGCCCCTGTAGGACAAGTAAGTTGAGACCACTGTTCTTGGAGCCACTTCAGTTTCACAGAAGCCCTCCAGAAATCTTGGTATACTAACTTGACACTGAAGAAAACTGACGCAGAAATAGCAAGTGTATTGTCCAAAGTCACAGCAAGCCAGGCAGAGCTGAGACTGGAGGCTGGGCCTTCGGAGCCCTGGATGTTGCCTTTTCTGGTAAATCATGCCACCTTTTGCTGTATACACTTTGCCTTTTGTATCTTCCCAAATTGTCAGATCATTAAACAGGAAAGTATTATGTGCACAGCCCGTCAGACCCTCATTTAAATGCAAAAGAAGGCAAAGGAAATCCGGAAGTTGACAGCATCAATAAAGGGACACGCTGGGACAGGATAAGGATCAGCTGTTAGAAAACAGGTTCTCAGCAATGTAGTCCCCATGCACGTCCTCTGCTCCAGGGGCAGGGCTGGCCCTAGACCATCCGAGAGTTGTGTGTGGGTCAAACCTTGGGCCAATGCATGCCAAAAGCATCCCTGTAGGGAAGGAGAAGTCCCTAAATTTCAGTCTGACCACCCACACCCTGTGTGGCCTACGTTCTCTGTAGACTTTAAATTCGCTATGTTATTTATTCATTTTGCATGTTTATAAACTGTCTCATCCCAACTAGAGTGCAAAGTCCATGAGGGCCAGGATCTTGATCATGATCATATTCCCTGTATTAGAGCAGAGACTGGTACCCAGCAAGTGTCAATATATATTTGCATGAATGAAGGCACTGGATGGATGAATTGACGGGTGGGTGGATGGACGGATGGGTGGGTGGGTGGATGGATAGATGGATGAATGGGTGGATGGGTGGGTGGGTGAGTAGATGAGTGGATGGATGGGTGGATGGGTGGGTGGATGGATGGATGGATGGATGGGTGGGTGGGTGAGTGAGTAGATGGGTGGATGGGTGGGTGGGTGGGTGGATGGATGGGTGAATTAGTAAACAGATGGAAGGGATGGAGGGAGGGGAAGAGAATGAATAAAATAAGCGAGATACAGTTCTCCTGTTTTGACCTGGTGAATATATTTGGGGGTAGGGAGAGAGCTACCCCTTCAATTGTTACATGTTTATTGAACGTTCACTAGGTGGGAGGTACTAGACTAGGAAATACTACAGTGTGGAAGACAGATAGTCTCTGCCCTCACAGACACACACTCTAGTAGGGATACAGACAAATATACAAGTGATTATCACATGCTGTGATAAATATTATGAGGGGAGTACAGACAGCTAAAGGAAGGCTTCCTGGAGTAAGTGACATCTAAACTGAACCTTGAAGGAAGAGTAGCTGTTAGCTGGGTGAACAGGGCATGGGGTGGGGGTGGGGGTAGAGTACTCCAAACAAAGGGAGCAGTGTGAGCATCAAGCCCAGGAGCAGGAGCCAAACAGGTTTGAGGAAGAGCTTACAGGTAGAAGAACCTCAGGCGTGTGTTTGAGTACCAGCCAGTGGAGCCGCCGCCTTATCCTGCCGCAGCTACTCCCCCTCGGTGGACATCTGGTGTTTTCCTCTGCCTAGGATCATCCAGTCCTCCTTCTGGAACAGCTTCCTGATTTTCTTTGAGGAAATCCCCAAAATTCCCCTCCACCATTCTCACACCATGCGGTCCATGAGCAACTGACATCGCCCTCCAATCTCGGGGGGTGGGCATGAGACCCAGGTCTGGCCAATCAGGACACAATATGTTAATCTGGCCACAGCGATTGGAGCTCATGATCCCACCCCGGCCAATTAAAGACAGCCCTGGGGCTTTGCCGGACACCTTCGGAAGGGCGGCTTCTCTTCCCACCAGGGGGCGCTGAGCTGATGGAAGGTGAGCTTGCAGTGGCGGGACCATCTTGTCACGACGTGGGAGAAGCCGGCCTGATGATGAAGCCAACACAGAGAAAACCAAAACCAAAAGACGGAGAGAGACTGATTCTTAAAGGTGAGTGTAAGGGTGGATGGATGGGCGGAAGGAAGGGAGGAAGGAAAAAGAAGAAGGAAAGGGAGAGAGGAGGAAGTGAGGGAGGGAATAGGATAAAATGGAGGAGGCACAGTCCCACCGCCTTGATCTGGGGAGCCTATTGGAGGTGTGGGGGAGGACAGCTACTCCTTCAATCATTAAATATTCATTCAGCAGTTTATTATGTGCCAGGTACTATACCAGCTGCTGGAAATGCTACTACTTGGAAGACAGGGTCTCTGGCCTCACAGAATATACACGCTCCTAGGGAGACAGACAATTAAAGAAGCTGGATCCAGCTATGCCTGAGCTACCTCCTCACATGGTTTAATAAACTGTCATTTTTACATAAGCCAGTTTGAATCGGATTCCTGTCCTTTGTTACTGAATGAACCCCAAAAGGCAGACTTCCTTCCCTTCTAGCCTCCCCACTACCCGTATCAGTCCTAGACCCAACTGGCCAACCTCAGTGTGTGACCCACAAACAGATAACACTGCCCGGCTGACAGGGGCTGCTCCTCGCTGCTTCTTTGCTGCCCTGGGTGCTGTTCCCTCTGCCTCCAATTCCACCAGGACAGTCCACTGCTGCTCAGATGCAAATCAGACGCCACCTCTTCTCTGTTGCCCTCCAGATGCCCAGGTAGACTTCATCGCCCCACCCCACCTCACGCTGTGTCCATATCCCCACTCAGACACCTGTCACATGGTAGCCATGTCTCATGCCTGGACCTGGTGGAGGCTCAGGAAAGGTGTGCTGAGCGAGTGAGTGAGTGTCTTGGCAGGAGAGCTGAGCGAGATGAGGAGGTTGTGTGGAGGGAAACCTCATCTCCCCGTTCTTCTTAAGACCACTTCCATCCCTGGATGAAACTGGGCACAACCTGGCCAGCAGGCTGTGATCATCCGGCAGAGCCTGCCTTGCCCTGAGTCTGGGACATGCCCTCATCTCCCTCACAGGGCAGACTGGTGTGAGACAAAAGCTTGAGAGGAGCCTCAAAGTTCCTCTAGCTTCGTGCCTTCATTCCACAGGTGGGGAAATCGAGGCCCAGAGCCCAGCTAACTTGCAGGGGTCAGTGTTTCCGAAGTGTGAGATGGGAGCCACCTGTGTTAGCAAGATGATTTTTAGGTGTTACAGACATGTTATTAACCCTTTTCAATTCTCTCGGAATCCTTCTGATTATACCAGGAGGAAATGCCCAATGTGGTGCTCACATGTCTAATGCCCCTACTGGGCACCAGTGGCAATGGGCACCACTGGGCAATGCTTTGCAGGCACCAGCAAGAATGAGCACTTTTTATTTTCATTTAACTTATGGAACTTTCTGGTTATATCAAGTTGTTTTTCATTTACTAATGTGAAATATCATTTTCTTCCAAAATAAATGTGTATAAGTAGTTTATATACATTTATATAAATAGTTGGGTGTATTTATATAAGTAGCTTTGGGGAGTAGACCTGGAGCAGGCTCTGCCACTACCCAGCTGGGTGACCTTGGGTTGACTACCTGGCCTCTCTGTGCCTAACATGGGGTAGTAATACAGCCACCTTTCTCAAAGGCTTATGGTGAGGATGAAATGAGTGAAGACCTGTAAAGCATTTAGACCAGTGCCCCGCACGTGGTAAGCACCATATAAGAGTGGAGGCTCTAGTTATTAGTGATATGAAACCATCTCCAAAATACAACCCCCAGAGCAAGTTGAAGACCAGTGGGGCCTGTTGTTCCCACTTGTGTTAAGCTGGGGAGGGCGGGATGTGTCCGGACATGTATGCTGATTGACAAAGAAAATACCTCTGCAAGGAGCGACTGCTAAGCCAGACACTAGTAACCGAGGTTATGTGGTGGGGGCGGAAGGGTCGGGCCACAGGAAACACCCTTCTCCTTGTGTACCTTTCTGTACTGTTTAATTATTGTTTTTGACTGAGTGTATTATCTATTTCTATATTTAAATATTCAGCAATTTTTTTAAAAAAAGAAAGTCCCTCTGGCTGGAACATGGAGTTTGTATAACAGAGAGCCAGCCTGGGGGATGGGAGAGCCCTCAGGAGGTGGCTGCACCTTTTCAGACAAAACATTCTTTGGGCTCGGGCTGGCCCAGTGGCAATGGGGGATGAGAGAGAGAGGAAAGATTCAGAACTCAATAGGAAAGATATTTATGCTTCATTCTTTGATAAAATGCAGTGATTTAGCACTGATGTTTGTCAGGCATGGGCTACACTCTCTGCCACTCGCTCTTCTCAGAACAATCCAGACAGATGAGTTGGTAACATCCCCACATTCTAGGGAGGGGCAGAGTGTTTGACAAGTGACAGGGCTTGGAACCCAGGCTTATCCGACTCTAAAACCTCTGCTCTTTCCAGTACACAACCTCTATGAATTAGGATAGAGAGAGATTAAAAAAAAAAAATGTGAGTCAATTTAAAGAAAAATATTAACTAAATGACAGAGGGCCCAATGACAAGATGACACCATGGTGGTTACACCTGAATGGAGACAGACAGGAAGTCCGGGATGGAGCCGGGACCAGTACCCAGGTTTTGGGCTCAGTCTCAGGCTCTCGCCACCACCTGCATGCCTGAGGGGGTCATTAGGAGGGAGACACTTTTGCAAAATTTGCCTGGGGGCCCAGAGTGATTTCCTGCGCCTGAGCCCAACACACAATCAGATCAAGGCTTGAACAAGGGAAAAGTAGAGCCCATTCATCACTCCAATTAGTGTCCCCCTGTCCCCAGCTGCTGCTGCGTGTGGCCGCTCCTCCGGCCCTCTCCACATCGCCCCAACCTAGACTCGGGGCTCCTCCTGCAGCCCTGCCTGGGAGAGCCTGGAGCAGAGCCACTGAGCACAGGGGAGGGGCCCTGCGGGGAATGCTGCCACGTTTGTCAGTTCAAAACACCACAGACGCGTTTCATGACCTAGAACTATATGGAAAATCTGAACACATTTTTAGCTGAACAATGAAAAGAGAGCGGGGTTTTGTTTTGTTTTTGCCTCTTCTGAAACGATTAGCACACTGGCTACACTCTCGACCTCTGCCCTCTTTTCCTCCAGGCTAATATATGGCTGATGGAGTTCAGAGAAAAGGAGGTGAGGTGGGGTGTGTGTGTGTGTGTGTGTGTGCGCGCGCGTGCACACACATGCTGGCATGTTTTAGAAAAGTGGGCACCTCGAGGTGTTGAGGATGGGCAGGGAAAAGGTTTGTTGAATGAATGAATGAACTAACAAAATGCCCAGCCCTGAAGTCTTGCATCCTCCCTGGTCCCAGATAGTGACAAGCCTTTCCCCTAGAGTGAGTGATGGATGGCCTTCAGCACTTCCTCCATCATCGCTATGCCTAGTAGTAGCCCTGAACACAACCACCACCGCCTTCTCTATCGATGTTAAAAGAAAAAAAGTGGGGCTTACTGGATAATCCTTTCTCTTTGTCATTTGTTCCTCAGTCCCTATGGTCATGCCTCTGGGGCTGGGGGAGGAGGAGGAGAATAAAGACTTATGTAACCAGGCATAGTAACTAAACCGTGCTCGAAATAAATCCCTAGGAATGAAGCTGGGACTCGGGGTCTGTAGTGCCCTTAGCAGCCGGGTGGCTGCAGTGGGCTGTTTGCAAAGATGGCCACGTAGCTCCTTCCGTGGCTGCAGGCATGGCCCTTTGCAAGCAACTCTCAGCACGAGGTGACGTTTACTTCTCCACCCCACAGCTCTGGCCTTGGCTCTGTGACTTGCTCTGGCCAATGAGATATTGGCAAATGTGACACAAGCAGAGGCTAGAAAACTACTTACACATTGGGATTTTCCCACTTTGGGCTCTTTTTTTTTTTTTTCAATTGGCCAGAAAATTGCAGCCATGTCAGGGAGCCATGTCAGTGGCCCCAGGTGAACTGAGCCCAAATCTCCAGCACACAGAATTATGAGCAAATAAAATTTCAGCCACTGAGTTTTGACTTGGTTTGTTATGCAGCAATTAATAACTGATACAAAGGTCTTAAGCAAGGCTTTATTTCTTTGTGCCTCAGTTTCTTTATCTGGCAAATGTGTGTTAATTAAATAATACATATAAAGTCCTAATACAGTGTGAGATCCATTCTAAGCACTCACTAAACAGCCACAGTTGCTACTATTATCCTTGTTTTGACAATAAAGAAAATGAGGTCCAAAGGCCTTAACTGACTTGGCCGAGCTGGTAGGTGGTGCAGGAGGAATTCCAACCCACGTCCATCTGTAAGTTTGCTCTGCTTGGATCCTAGGTTGCCTCTCCTACTGGGAATTCCCTTTCTCTTCCTTTCTTCTCCTCTGCTTCTCTGATTCCTCCTCATCCAAAGGCACCAAGGTCAAAACTCACCCTTGATCATGGCCCGTCTGGAGCCATCTCTTTCCTGAAGCCTCAATCTCTCACACACGTACACACTCTCCCTCTCATTTCTTCACTCGACACATATGTACTGATCACCTACTATGTGCCAGCACTGCCACAGGCTCCAGGCACACTGTGGAGAACACAGCGCGGCCCCTACAGGGCGCACGGTCTAGGTGCCCTCCCTCCCAGGCCCCGGATCCAGCACATGCCATGCTCTGTCTTGGGCTGCTGTACCGTCCGTTCATATACTTTACTCTTGTCTCCTGGCCCAGATTTTAAACTCCTTCCAGGCACCACCAGTCTCTTTCATTTATTCATATACACCTCCTTCCCTCCCTCCCTCCTCTGCTTCAACAAGCACCCCGGGAACACCAAGGATGTACAAGACACTTCAAAGACCAACTCTTGAAATGTTCACAGCCTGCCGCGGTGCCTCTTGCAGCGCTAGGTCCACACCAGCCAGCCAGAAATGCTCGCATTTAACTGAATTTCTGGGCAACTACTGAAGGCTCAGTGTGCAGTCAACAAATGACTGGGGGCGGGGCACTGTTGGCACCCCAAAGCTCTCACTCCACTAACGGCATAAGGAGAGAGCTGGGGAGGTGCCTGGCCCTTCCTCCTCCACCGGTTCCGAGGCCGGCGCCAGGCTGCCCTGAGCACAGCGAGCAGCGGCCAGCCCGCCTGCCCGGCCTGGATTCTGACGCCGGTGGCATTTCCGTCCAGCTGCCCTGCCCGGGGCCAGCAGGAGCAGAGGCACGTGGAGCACCTGCTGGATTGGGATCACTGCGCTGGGCACCAGCACCGCCCTCCTGATCCCTGATCCCTGGCCTGCCCTGTCCAGTCCACACCGGAGAATGGTTCTATCACCTCCCCACTGACCCAGCTGGGAGGTGAAGTGACTTGCCCGAGGCCACACAGCTGGGTTCACACTGAGTCTTAGCCTTAAGTGTTTCTCAGCAGGCTCTGACTCCAGAGAGTTTACAGGCCAACTGTGGAGATAGGGTGTAGACAATAAAGATACTACAAGGTTTTTTTTTTAACTGCCATTGTGATTCGAAGCCCATAGGTGATGGCTTCCTAGAGGTGGTGGAGTTTGGTCTGGGTGTGAAAAATGAGTATGACCCAGACAGGCAGAGGAGGAAGAGGCGGTTGTAGCTGGGGGAATGGCAGGGGGAATGGCAGGGGACAAGAGCCGAGGGGGAGGTATTGGGGTAAGCTGAGAGCATCCAGAAGAGGAGCCCAGCTGGAGCCCAGAGGAAAGGTTAGAGACCTGGGTGGGAGCAGCTCAGGGGTCCCGGGAGGTGGACCCAGGTGTTGGAACTCCATGGAGGAGAGGGATCCATTCAAAGGGGTGCCTGAGGAACAGAAAAAGGACCTAGATTGGGGAACGCCTGGTCTTGCCAAATCCTCTGCAGATCCTGAGGAGGAAAACCCCACGTCACCAGCCTTGCACATTCATCACTGCCCCTCCCCCACTGTGGCCCGTTACACACTCGGCAAAGGAGGCGTAAAAGGTGATGAGAGTGATATAAGACCTCTGATACACTCTGCCTTTTTGCTCTCTCTGTTCGAAACATGGTTAACATGTCTGAGCTCCTTTCATTCTCACGAGGGTGTGCAACAAGTAGCTAGTATTATTTCTATTTAACAACTGGATTCGAACCCAGGTCTCTGCCTTTAAACCTCCAGGCGATTCTCCCCCACAATGCCCAGCTGACTCAAAGTCACGTGTGTTCTCAAGCAGCAATTCTTCCTTTACCTGAAGCAACAGCCCCGCTAAAAACTGTCCAGGACTCACGTTTTGCTCCTCAACTTGGAATCATAGAAATGTGAGTTTCAACTTTCATCAATTCACTTCTAGGAACTCTCACCCCCATTTTACTGATTGGGAGACTGAGGCCCAGAAAGGCGAATACCTTGCCCAAAGCTCCGTAGCTGGCTGGAGTCTGAGGCAGGCTTCTGACCTGAGGTCCAGGCTCTTGGGCAAAGGCTCTTGGCCCCTGAGGAGTCCACTGTCTGCTGGCCACACAGGACATGAATGTGGAAAGATAATAATACCGAAGAGAGGGGCCGTCTCACAGCCTGCTCTTCTTTCCCGTCATACCAGAGATTTTCAAATACAATTTTAGCAGAGAACCCCCCCTTTTAATGAGGACTATTAGGAACCCCCACTTATTTCAAACATAATGGCTTTACTCTACTCTGACTGTCTTAGGGGTGAAGGGCCTGGAGCTCTCTCTGCTGGGGCTGCCCAGCTCTGCTCCCCCAGGCTCCCTGGGGCTCCCCACATTTTCCCCCAAGGAAGCCAAAGGCTCCTGAAGCACAGTCAGTGAATTCCTGCCTCGTAACCTGGTGTGCTTGTGTCCCCACTCACTCGCCTTCTTGGATTCTAACCCCCTTCCCAAGTCCGGTTAGATCCCGCCTCCACATAGGTAGCAAGATCAGTTCTGAGCCAAATTGTAATGTTCTGAAATTACTCCTCAGAGATGACAAGGCATGCTCACCCCCATGACTTCACATAGTCCTCATAACGTGGTCCATCTTGCAGATGAGAATACTAAGACCCAGACGAGCTACATGCCTGTCCAGGGTCCCACAGTCAGTGAGGACGGGCGTCAACTTCAGCCTGTCCCACCTGACTCCACCCTCCCATCCCCCTACCCGACCTCGATTTTGTGTCTTCTGCTTTGTAGCTAACACATTCCCACAGCTGGCAGGCATCTGAATCTCTCATGAACTTATACAAACTAAACATGCCGAGGCCCCGCCTCCCAGAGGGACAGAATCGGAAGCAGTAAGTGCAAGTCATTCCATCCAATCATGATGACCTCATCACTCAGGCACAAAACAGCAAAAACACCCAGGGTCATCCCAGATCTCTGACGAGCCTTTGTCTGACCCTGGGCACTGAGGAAGGAGACCCGACCCCAAACAGCAGCAGAGTCTGAGCAGGACTTACTGTGTAGAGCTCATTGGTGACCTTCAGGAGCTCCTCATGCATCTGCAGGCCAATCTCCTTGCTCTGGAATATGGAAGAACAAATGTCAGAGGGGGAGAAGGTCGCCAGTTGCAATGACCAATTTCCTTTCAACACAGAAAGGGCAGGAATACTCTGGGTGGGGAAGGGGTGCAGAAATCAACATACACCTCATGGATCTAGACTTGAATTCCTCAACTCATGTCTATGAAATGCACTCACAGAGAGCGGCTCCTTGCAAAGGGAACCCCCTGGCCATGTAAGTTGGGGAACCCTAACATCAGCTTCCTACATGGGTGATTCACAGACATCACCAGAGTAAAGACTCTGAGAAGCCCCACAGCCAATCAACTTGCTCATCTTGCTTTAATTCTGTGGGTCCTAAGCTGATCTGACCAGAGTATGTGTCCCTAGGTCAGTACTCATGAACATCTCATGAGAGTGGGGTTCCACAGACCACATTTTGAGAAATGATGATCTTGCATCTCAATTCATGGTGAGCAGTACAGGTTCACAGGCGGCCCCTGGAGCACGAGGCAGGAGATCGAGCTGACTGGTCACATGCCTTGAGCCTTAGTTCCCACATCTATAAAATAAAAAGCTTAAACTAACGCATCACTTCCCAAAATGGTCTGGGGGTCACTGCTGTGCGCTACGCTAAAAAAGAGGCAGAGGTTTCTGTGACCAAATGCTTTTGGGAAAAGCTGGCTGAACAAAGGCAGACAGGCTTTCTCACTGCAAGACTTCTCATCAGCTCTTGCACCCTCACGGGCATGGACTTATAAGGCGGCTTGTCGTGTGCAGTGTCGCTGACCTCAAAGCTCACCCACAAGGTGGCTTACATGTTTAGGATATTGAGGGATGCAATTCAGAAAACAAGGAACGAATTATCTCCAGGTTCCACCCAGCCTGAAGAGTCTAGGATTCTCCATTACTTTATGTGTTATTATTATTATTATTATTTTGGTAAATAGTCTCCCTGTTTGTCTGGACCATCACGTGAAGTTTCTGTATTGAAAATCGGAGCCCTGATGTCTGCACCCTGAGAGCTTAGTCATCCCACCCTCCCTTTCAGCTCCCTCAGCCTCAAGCATGACCAGCGGCTGACAGGCAGAGACCAGCTTTCGTCCTGCCCCCCACGCGGGTCAGGAGCCCCCGGACTCAGCAATAACTGAGGAAGGCTCAGTACCAGACATGATGCCTTCCTCAGCTCCTTCTTCTCAGCCCACAGCCTTTCTCCAAGCTTTGGGGCCTGGAATTGCCAAGAATCACTGTCTGAAGGGAGCCCCGGCCTGCCATCTCTGAACAGATAGCAAAAGCTCCAGGGCGATTCCAGAGGTCTGCGTAGACCTACCTCCAGCTCTGGCGGCTAAAGAAAGGGGACCCAACCCAAAAGCTCAGCAGAGCCTGAGCAGAACCTTCTGTGCAGACTTCACGGGGAGCCTTCTGTAGCATCCCGTGCATCTGCAGTGGTGCTGGAGGAACCAACCAGCTATCCCCCACCTCCTTCTGTCCTCCCTGGTTCTCAGGAGTGAGCAGTGAGTCTGTGCCTCAGTTTCCCCTGCGGCCCCTCCCCCTGATGTTTGCCCCACAGCTGACTCCAGAGTCTCTGACACCCTCCTGTGGCCTCCTCTCGGTCATCAGTCTCACCAACATCTCTGACACCCAGGACCCCAGTTCCTTATGTGTTTACTTTGATGATCTAACTTTTCTGATGGGTTAAAGGAACATCGTTAAAGGAAGTCGAACAGCCAGCAAGGGAAAAAGTAAAGAGTAAGTCGCCCAGGCTCCCAGAACCCGGCCCAGAGGCACCTGCTATTTTACATTTCTTCTGATACCTTCCAGAAAGAGTCTATGGATGTACAAGCATACATCTGGATGGTGCGTGTTCTTTTTTAACACAAATGGGAGTATTCTATACACACCTTTGCCCCTTGCTTTTTTCCACCTAACAACATATCTGAGAGGTTTTTCCTTTGCAGCCCACGTAGCTCTTGCATCCTCCCATTTTTTCCCCCTTCTTCTCCCCAAAGCCCCCAGTACATAGTTGTTGCAGGTCCTCCTAGTTCTGCTATATGGGACACCACTTCAGCATGGCTTGATGAGCGGTGCCAGATCCGCACCCGCGATCCGACCTGGCAAAACCCTGGGCCGCCAAAGCAGAGAGCGCGAACTTAACCACTCAGCCACGGGGCTCGCCCTGCATCCCCCCTTTTTAACAGCTGCTTTGAGGTTCCATATACCAGAAGTATCATAATTAACCAGCTCCATAGTGATGGGCATTTAGTCTCTTAACATTTCAAACAATGATGTGGTGAACATCCTTGTCCCCAGTCACTGGGCACACGGGCAGGGACCCCTGTCAGATAAATTCCTAGAAGCAGCTCTTCTGGGGAAAGTCCTGCCTCCAAAACTCCCACCAGCCCTGCCTTCACAGGCCTGCCCAGCCAGCTCCCCACACCCTCCTGACTTCAGCTGCCACTTCTCGGTGACCCGCAGCCACGTCACCATCTCCACGGTCCTCTCTCCTGGGCTCTGTCCTGCACGAGCTTGAGCCAAAGCTCAAAGATGTGTATCCTCAGCTGTTGCAGAACAGTAAGGTCTGGATGTCCCCTCATCACGTCAGACTCAAATTATCCAAAAGCAAACTCCAGAACCTTCCCCATCGCCTTGAGTTTGGTCAATGGGCTAACATCTTCCCAGGCATGGCAATTGGAAATCTTGGAGTTATTTTTGACACTTGTTTTAACCCCTCCTCAATCCAATCTGTCACTGCGTCCTGCCTTCAAACTGCCCCATCCTTGGTTCCCTGTAGCAGGCAATGCTGATTCCCTCCCCAGCCTCCTTCTCGCCCGTCCTGCTTCCGAATGGAGCCGTGAACTTGGCGCTGTGTGCATCCACCCAGCTGAGTTCTTCAGGGAAGCTGACTTCATCCCCACTTGAGACGGTGGATTCTGGTATGTGTTGTTGGTCCAGAGGTGAGTATGTGACTTAACTAGACAGAAGAGAAGGACTTAGATGGTTGAGGGGAAGGTTTTAGTTTGGCTACCAAGTGCTGGCAAAAAAGCACGGAGCCCCAGTTGCTACAAGAAGGCATCTTAGGACCAGAAGAGGAAGCAGCCTTGGGTGGGAGAGCAAGAAACCTGGCTCCTTCATGACCTCCTGAGAAACTGGTTGAACTGAACCCAGAGCCTGCCTCCCAGTGAACTTCTACTTCTGTGGCTTTGTTGGTTAAGGCACTTTGAGTTGGAGTTTTCTGTTACTTGCAGCCAAAAGCATCCTAAGGGACCCATTTCCCACCACCAGTCCCAGAGCAAGCACGTCATCATTGCAGGACCCAAACTCCTAAAGCTGCCCCTTAACAAAGTCCCCGACTTTTGACTCTGATTCTGCAGGCCGGGGCCAGTGTAATTTCCTACAAATGTCTTTCATTGTGTTCCCCCAAAGCCCCCCCTGCCCAATGCCTGCAGGATCAAGACCCAGCTCTTTAGCTAGACTTTCAGGCTCTGTGCAACTAGCACAGGCCTGGTTAGACAGGAGAGACGGCTGAATTTGGAGGCACAGACACCAGGTTTGGAGGTGGGGCTTTCAGCTATTAACTTCTGGGTACCTCAGCTTCCTCATGTGCAAAATGAGCACCTGTTTCTGTCTTTCTCTGCGCTTGGAAAGGGAAGTGTAATGATCTTGCTTGTTTACTCGTCTATTCATTTATCCTTTGTTCCTCACTTGAATGAAAACCCCAGGAGCACAAAGAGGCTTTCTCTGGGGTGGTGACGCTCAGATCCCCCAGCCACTGGCAGGGCTGGCAGCAGACAGCCCCCAGCCAAGAGCACCCTTCAGGGATGGCCTCAGAAGACAGGTGACATCCCTTCCAAAGACGGACACCACATCCAAAGACGGGTCTGTGTGGGGCACAGAGGCCTGCCCTTCCAGTCTCAATTCGGACAGCTCTGAAGGGTCCCTCCATCTTTACAACTCCCCACAGGGCTGGCTAAGACTGCCAGTAAGGCTTGACTCCACCCTGCTCCCTCCCCTTCCCTCCCAAGGTGCGGGTCCCAAGAACGCTCCCTAATCCTTCTGCTGAATGCTAAATTCAGACACCTCAAGTCTGCTTCCCAGCTTTCCCGATCTGCAAAATCTCGCTTCCCCACTCTTACGTCCTTGCAACGCCATAGAGCCTGTCACATAGTGGGTGCTCGTTAAATACGTTTGTTGAATGACTCTATGAATAAATGAAGTGACAGTTCCTCTAAGCTTTACTTTCTTTATCTGTAAAAGTAGGATGATGTCAGGAGTGTCATGGAGTCCCTGTGAGGATGAAAAGAGATAACACATATGGCAGCACCTGGCCCCGTGCCAGGCACAGATGATGAGCTTGGGAGACAGTAGGACAGGCTGAATCGACACCCACTGGATGCCAGAGACAAGGCCAGGAAGTTGCCCAGAAAAGGGAATACAAAGTTGAATTTTTTACTAACTTTTCCCTTAAGAATCTCCCAGTTTGGCAGCATTGATGGTCAAGAACACATATAACCCCAAGGCAGAAAGAGTATAAAAGGGTGGAAGATGGAGTGATATGGGACGAAGTGATGAAGAGGATGGAGGGAGAGCCAGAGCCATCTCACCTGCATGAATGGCCAGACAGCATTCTAGGCAAGGGGCACACCCCAAGCAAAGGCATGGAGACTGGAAACAGAGAAAAGTCTGGTTTGCAAAGAGAGAAGCTCAGCAAAGGATAGCGGAAGATAAGCTTAAAATGGAGCTTGGTCCAGATCACAGAGGCTGATGGAACGCAGGCTTCCTTCAGAGCAGAATGGGGAGCCACTGAAGGTTTTTGAGCAGGAGAGAGTGACGATCAGAACTGTGCTTCAGAGAGATGAAGACGCTGGTGTGTGGAGAGTGGACTGGATGGGTCGGGGCTGGAAGCCACCAGATGGAACCTGCCCGAGGCCCTGCTCATCCTCCCCTCAGCACCAAGCACGGGGCTGGCCACAGCGTGAGTGCTCAGCAAAAATGACTGAACTGCACAGGACTCCAAGGCATTT